ACATGAAAAATGAACATAATTGCTTCTCTTAGCATAAATAAAATATATAAAGGTTTTTTAAAACCTATTTTAATACTTTTATCAAATAAAAATTTATCTATTTTTTTAATGAAAGGAGCGGGCCCACTCCCAGGACAAGGAAATGATTTCTTTTCACAGTAAAAAGGGAATTGGCTCACCGGATGGTACCAAGTACTTTTATGGAGCTCCAAACTCGGAATGCCCTTTTGTTTTTGTTTTCTTGCAACGCCCTATCGATAGGTAACCCGGTGGATCATGGGAGCGATTGGAATGCGCCTCTGACAAGTTTGTTTATTTAAATTAGTGAAATGGGACCCTTTTCCTTGAAGAATGTTTGGTCTTTATACTGTAATAGAAATTAAAAAAGAGGTCAAATATCTGGACATCACACTCGATAAAACACTGATATTTAAGAAACACATCGGCTCCACCATTATGAAGGCGATGCGAGCTTCGATGGTGTGCAGAAGAATAGCGGGGAAGAACTGTATATGTAGACCGGAAACCCTGCTTTGGATGTACACCATGATGGAAAGATCTATGCACTTACATCTACTTACATGCGGAGCCGTGGCCTTGGCCGATAAAGCAGAACAACAAAAAAGAAAAGAACTCATAAAAATACAGAGACTTGCGTGCATCTGTATAACGGGAGCAATGAGAACATGTCCCACAATTGGTATAGAAAATATATTGGGATTAATCCCCCTACACCACATGGTAATGAGGACAGCCCAGAAAACTATTAGTACCATTAAACAGAAACTTCGAACAGGAATAAAACTAAACCAGAGAGACTGCAACAAAATAACGAAGGACCATCCGATACTCATAGCTCCAAGAGACGGCATGAACAGGTGTTAGAATTCAATCAAAACTTCCAAATAAACCTAAGTACCAAAAAAAGAATGGGAACGAGAGGAAAACACCTCCTTTAAGAAAGGCACCATCATCTTTTAGTACACAGACGGATCTAGAACACAAGAAGGTACAGGGGTCCTGGAACCATACACTCAGAACCCATGGGAAAATACACAAGTATCGAGCGAAGTTCACGCAGTCGAGACATGTACTCAATTCAACTTGACTAAAGGGTACAAAATAACATGTCAGATGTCGAAGCAGCCATCAAAGCACTAAGCTCAAATATCATTAGTTCAAAGGTGGTGTTGAACTGCAAAACCAAATTAAACTTTTTAGGTACGCAGAGCAAAGACAGCCTCTGCTGGGTCCCAGGACACATGGGAGTAGAAGGCAACGAGAAAGGGACACCCTTCGAAGGAATCGAAATCGGCTGCTACACCGCTGATAGGTCCCGAACCCTTCGTGGCATAGGAACCCACACTATCAATGATTACAGGACAAAAGGACAATGAAGAAAATGACTCAGACAGAAGGACAAAAAGAAAATGAAGGCACAATGGAATTCACACATTGGACTCAGACAATCCAAGAATCTCCTAACAAATTTCGGAAGGAAAGAAGTTACAGAATGTGTCAAAGGAAGCAGGAATAAACTGCGAATAGATTCTTAACAGGACACTGGAAGCTAAATGGACACTTAAAGAAGATTGGAATAATCCAAGTCAGCATATGCAGATTCTGCAAAGAGTCAGAGGAGACACCAACACACCTACTAAGAAACTGTGGTGCTACACTTGCCTATAGGAAGAAGTGCTTTGGGATGTACAATGTGAACATAGAAGAGATTCAACCACTGAAACCGGGCTTACTAATCAAGTTCCTTGATGAAATATGACCTACCGGTGTGCTATACGTGGGATGCAATAGTTCTTAAAGGGCGCAATACATTACACCCCGACTAATACATCTAATCTCTCTACATCTACTTGACATACTTACAAATGGTTTTTTTTTTCAAAAATATCGGCACCTCGAGGGTTGATATAACCTCTGCCGTTGCGAACTCTCGTAAAAAAATTGGAATTTATTGGTCTTAAATGTCCGGTATTAAAAATTCAAATTTTCTTATGTACCAGAGACCTTTAACTTGAATTTTAGTTGTAATTTGCTCGAACTTTGTACTTATCTGCATTTTCAACTGTATAAACGACCTAACAAGCAAATATGCTAATTATTTCTTACAGTGAAAATAGTGAACATTGGTGTTAAATGTTAGGATCGTGTAGTCAGATAGAGAAGTTTTGTAGGATGTCGCACAAAAGTTTAAAATATGGACTTGGATGTATTCGTTTAATTTAAATTACTTTAATATCCCAGCTTCAAAAAAAGCCAAATAAACAGAACTAGCGAAAGAATAGACTATAATTATGTAAATGTAGGCGTTTAAAGCGAAATTGAGAAATGTTAATGTTCTAAATTAAACAGAGGGCCTGAGAGCTCCGGGTCTTCCGGAAGGCGAATCACTCTTCACCGGAGGGTGAAACCGAGCTAGGCGCTGATTAGCCTAGTTCCATGTAGCCCCGGGCTCCGAATAAATTTAAGGGGAATTAAACTAAGGTGTCTTTTCTCAACTTCTCCACTTGTTTTTCTAGGTTATCGGAAAGTCTCTTTCTCGTGGTTCTCCGTTTTCTACGGCCGAAGGGCGAGCCCCGAACCGGGAGAGAGAGTCCGTCCCTATTGACGAGGAATAGGCCGGCAATTAGTATAAAAACAGGGAAGAAATGACTGGTTGGTAATCTTTACGAATCGGCCTACATTTCCGGGCTAAAAATCGGTGAGATTATTTTGCTTCTAGGAATTTTTAGAAAAAATGATTAAGATAATGGAACCAGTTCATCATCAGTACAAAGAACTATTCTGATCCGCATCTTCTCCATCATTTTAATTACAATTTACCTAACAATTTAGCACAACGGTTTTTTAAAATTGTAATTGATTTATTTATTTACAAATTGTACTATTTCAACAGCAAGAGATAGATAGATAGCTAAATAGATAGATACATAGATAGATAGAGAAAAAGATATAGATAGATAGATACAGAAAGAGATAGATAGATAGCTAAATAGATAGGCAGATAGAGAAAGAGAGAGAGAGAAGACAGAGAGAGAGATAGCTAAATAGATAGATAGATAGATAGATAGAGAAAAAGATATAGATAGATAGATACAGAAAGAGATAGATAGATAGCTAAATAGAGAGAGAGAGAGAGAGACAGAGAGAGAGATAGCTAAATAGATAGATAGATAGATAGAGAAAGAGAGAGAGAGAGAGAGAGAGAGAGATAGAGATAGAGATAGAGATAGAGATAGAGAGAGTAAGTAAGTGAGGGAATGCGTATCTTGAAAAAAGCAAACCACTCACATGACACTGGAACAAAGTACAAACAAAGTTTGACACCTATTATAATATATCTATATATATTATAATTAATATATCTATATATATTACAATTAATATATATATATATATTTATATACATAATAACTATTATATCTATAAAATGCATTGAAAGGGCAGGATAGCTCAGTCTACGCTACGCTAAAAATCTTCAAATGGATATTGATATGAAAAACTTTTTTTATTATAACCAAACAAAATTTATTACAAAAGTATATCAACTGTTTATACTAATTTTCTTAACATGCAGTAGAAGCAATTAATTAAGGTTTTTAGTTGAGATAAAAATGTCAATGGCACGAGCGGTATTCGAACCCACGATCTTCGGCTTGATACGCCGCTGCTCTACCACTTGAGCTATCGTGACCTCAATCCACTCGGACACCAACTTCCCACCTCAACCGCACCTTTTGAATTTTCCCTCCTTTTTGCCATTTTTATCTCAACTAAAAACCTTAATTAATTGTAAGATATTAATTGGTCAAGCGGACCACGAAATTAGTGAATTTAATGATTTAAAATGAAGTATACTTCACTAAAGCTCTCCGTGGCCATTTCATTTGTACTCGGGAATCCAATCCGATTCCACGACATTTAAAAAATGGCAAAAAGGAGGGAAAATTCAAAAGGTTGGGTTGAGATGGGAAGTTAGTGTCCGAGCGGATCGAGGTCACGATAGCTCAAGTGGAAGAGCAGCGGCGTATCAAGCCGAAGATCGTGGGTTCGAATCCCGCTCGTGCCAGTGACTTTTTTATCTCAACTAAAAACCTTAATTAATTGTAATATATTAATTGGTCAAGCGGACCACGAAATTAGTGAATTTAATGCAGAAGAAGTTTAAATCTTTAGTTTTGTAGACAACTGACAAATAATGATTGGTTAAAAGACAGAAAAGATCTAAAAATAAAGGATTATGGATAAACAAACACACACACATACTGTAAGAAAAAATAAAAAGGGAGAGAGAGAGAGAGAGAGAGAGAGAGAGAGAGAGAGAGAGAGAGAGGAAAGGGATTTAGGTTTTATATTTACCTAAATTTTATTTTTACTGGATTAAGCGTTTCTTCTCCCCCGACCAGATAGCTTGACACGCAATCACAGTAAAATAAATAAAGCTTCTTGTCTTATTCTTGGCTGAACTTATAAAGGCTGTTTTCTGCCACTCTGAATATTTATAAGTGCTTATTGAATTGGTAATGTACAACTAGCTGACCAGCAATTATACTGAGTTTTGTTCGTTCTTGCTGCAGTAGGCCTGTAAGTTTAGGCGAAACTTTCTTAACAAAGAATCCATTCTTGGATGTTTTACCACTAGTTACGTGTTTTCAATATGATTCATTCGGCAATTGTTCCTTTTGGATGTTGACTCACAATTTTACAATTCTGGTCTTTCTGGTGCTAGAGTTAAAGTACCTCCCGGACTAGAATTAGCCTCTTTCTTACCTCTTTGGATCGAGACAAGAGACTTTTTTTCAGATTTCCTACCTCTCCGAGGTATTCGGCTGTCCTATGTTCTGGTGAGGCTTTGAGCGCAGCTTGGATGTAAAAATAGTTCCTTCATATATTTTCTACAATTGGAAGTTGGTTTAACTCGCAAAACGTTTTTTTAATAATGAAACAAATTTAAAACAAAATTTATTAACAAATAAGACTGATTATGTACAAGAGGAATTAATTGGTTCGTCAACATTGAGGACTCTTCCTTTGATTCTTCGCCCAGTAGTAAGCCGCTGCTACGCCGGATAACAAAGCTAGGACGGACAGGGCGATTGTGCTTCCGAAGAATGCCTTCTTCGTCAAACATAGCTCGCCCCTGTCCTGGGACGGCAGTGATTGAGGAATGTCCTCGGGAAGGAAGACCCGGATCGTCCTGGCAAGAAGCATACCTTCCGTGTCGTTCACAGATCTCCTTCTACGAGTCGGTTCGAATTTCTGCAAAAATCACGAAAGAATAAAAGTTTGTGACTTTTCTATTGATTTTTTTAAAAAGATTTTCACCTGGTTAGGATCGTCGCAAGGTGGCCTGCAGTCAGTCTTGCACAATTGCACGTTGCACTCCATCGTCAGGTCCATCACGTCTGGGAATTTAAACGCCTGAAAGTTATAACGAATGGATTTTTTTTCAGTTGGCCCATTGATATTTCCTATTGCTATATTGATGCTATATTGAGATTATATAGCAGATTCCCCATTAGCAATGAAATAGTACAAACTGGACTGCTACAAGGAAATGTCTTGAACCCTTCTTGTACTTGATACTCATGTTGTGCCAACGTCTAAACGTATGAAATCTAGTGCCTAGTTTGCAGTTGATAATATGGTGCTATGAAACTGACACAATATCAACGCAAAAAGATCTTCTTTGTTTGGGATTGAAAGCTAACTGGTGCAGCAAGTAAAATACTTCTATTAACTCCAGGAAGTCAGGATTAGTCCAATTCAATCACATCCAAAAATAAAACCGCTATTTTGTCACTACTACCACTGATGTCTTCTTATTTTGACTCCAGATTGACGTTAACAGACCAATCAAATATGTAGTTACTCAAATTCTTCAATCGATAAAACCACTGAAACAAATCCTTGACTATAGCTCACCCTGATCATGCAAAATAAAAAGGTGTATTTTTTATCCAAGATTTGCCAAATTTGCACTTATTTTTGAGGCCTATGTGGGAAGAGTTTTTGCCCAGATCATACAAATCATAGTTCTGACAATAATTACACCAATGTACCATGGTATACCCGTCTCAATACGACCGAAAACCTTCCAATAGTATTCAAAGTAATTGAATCCTCCTACAAAAGATCGCCCATCATGGACATGCTCTCTAATGGTACAACTTGAGAATAGTAAGCCATCAGCAATATTTAAATACAAGAAGCCTTAAGACGTTGGCAGGAAAATTATTTTAATCCAAGCGTACAAGGTTCCAACGAAAGAGCCGGATGATTACGATATCTTCAATCTTACCTCAAGTCATTAAAGTTTTTTTGGTTTTGTTTTTTAAATAGGCAGAACAAGACATAAATGAATATAGTTAAGGTTTTAAGTGACTATAAAAAACGAGTTACCCTAAAATAAGCATAAGCTAAGGCTGCTCCAGTCTGCTGGTGTCTAGAATACTGGAAACCGGCCATGAGCTTTTCTTTGAGTGGGCATCCTCTGGAGTCTGTAAGCTCTACAGAATTCACCCCGTCTGTCCCTCGGCATTCGCCGACTCTCAGCTGGAACGCCTCGTCCCCATCGACTGTGACTAGGAGGGTCATCAAATCGCCTATCTGCACGAGTTCCGATGCCCCCGTGGCGTAAGGTCCCCGGCCGGCTTGGATCTCCAGCCTGGCTTTGCCCGTGTCACCGCTGAACGTTACCAGCTCTTGGTTGAGCGAGTTGATCATGAGTCCAGTACGAAGCGACTGGTCGATGCTCCCTTCCCAAAGGCAGCGGACGCTCCTAACCGAATCCCATACTTCAAGGATGCCGGGCTCGTTTTGTATGACGAGCGTGTTTTCCAGATACGCGCTTTCTCCTTTGGAAAACCCGTCGATGAACTGCGTGCCGCATGTGTCGAGGTAGAGAGTAAAAGTGTATTTAGTCAGGCCGGAATTCGGTTGAACGTGCCTGCATTCTGGCGCGTTGTGATGACCCTGGTAAAACATCAACCTATTACCTTCTCATCTGCATAAATTGTGAATCGCTTACCTTTGAATAAACTATTCCGTTATAAGGCTCGTTAAATTCTAAGTCCACAGTCATCTTATCTTTGGAACAATCGACGTTTAGGGCGTGGATGTGGGGAGGGTGAAGTCCCGATTGTTGAACACTGTCTCCTTGCTTGGGCTGAAGTTGCTGTTGCGTCTCGAAGCCGTTTTGATTCGACTGTGAATTTTGATTCAGACCTGTCTGAAAACCTTGTTGATTCTGTTGCTGGGTCTGATATCCGTTTTGATTATGCGTAGTGTAGTCATTTGTATTTTGTTGGTATTGAGGGGTAAAGCCGTTTTGATCGTTCCTCTGTTGTGACTGACTGAACTGGAATTGTCGTTGGGTGGTAAACCCGTTTTGATTTTGTTGCATTGAGTAACCCTCGCTCACACTTTCTTTCGATACACCTGCCTGGTATCCATTCGTGGTTTGCTGGTATACTTTCTGCTCTTTTTCTTGGCTCTGGAACGGAGGCTGGAATGTGCTCTGGATCTGTAAAACGGTCTTGGGCGTCTGAAACGGTCTCGGCTCCTGAGTCGAGCTGCCGAGGTCGGCAGGAAGGTAAGCCCTAGACGGATCCTCGTTCCTCACTAAAATCAGATAACCTTACAAACCAAGAACTCCACTTATAATTTTCTTACATTTACCTTTTCTGTTGACTTCTTTGTACCTCGATTGAAGCCAACTGAGAATGTCCTCAACAGTCCTAGAGTCATTCGCATCAACCTTCTTCGATTCTACGACAAGCAAAATGATAATAAATGAAAATCACTGATTTATGCAAATTTTTATAACAACCTCGAACTTTTTTCTGCGATGTCCTTCTATAGAAGAGAGCATGATCTTTCGGTTCCTCACCCACTACTACACAGAGTAGGAGGCATGCTTGCACCAAGAGAATATTCAGGATCATGGCGCCACTGTAAGAAAAAGGAAAAAATTACAAAACTCTCCGTTTTCATAAATATTAAGACAATCGAATCCTGATTACACAACATTTGAAAAAAAAGGGAAGGTAGAGTGGGGTGGGGATCGAAGTCACGATAGATCAAGTGGCAGCGGCTATTTAGCCGAAGGTCGTGGGTTCGAATCCCGCTCGTGACACTGGCTTTTTTATCTCAACCAATACCTTACATAAAGATTAATTAATTGAAAGAAGTTGTTTGGCCAATCGGACCACGAAATATAATGGATAAATATTAATATTTTTTGGGTAGAGATCTAACAATATTGCACAAGCAGCGGATAGCCGCACTACTGTACACGTTACTATCGTTTCCTAATTTTGTTTAAAATATAAGTAGACTCTATGGAGCATACTAGCTAAGCAATTTGTTTAGTTTAACGAAATCAGCAACGACATTTTGGTTCATAATTAAATACCCAACAGGTACAACCATCATGTTTACATTCTGATAAAACCTAGTCGTCACCCTAGGAAATCGGGATCGACGACTAGCAAGGAGTGATAAGCCTCTCGTAATAATTAAAAATGGGAATGAGATATAGCTTTCCTGACAGCTTACGCAAAGGTGGGGAGTTAGAGAAATCTTCTCGACTCTTCTTCCTTCTTCGGCCTCCCTTGACCTTTCGAGGTCAGTGAAAGTCTCGACGAGCAAAACCCTCTTTTTTAAAATTATAATTGCAAAACTAGTCAGGAAGTGACTTTTGACTTTTTTACCTACATTTGGACATGCATTTCCGGTTTCTGCGGGTGTCAGACTACCGTGCGCGTAAAACGATGGTGTGAGGTTCAAGCACGGCTAGTTGCTTGGAGGCCATGGCCGTACAGACAAAAATTCCACTTTTCACATCATATTTATTTCATTTTTAAAAATTCACATGAAAGCCAAGTTAAATTTGGTTATTTAAATATTTTTTTAAACTAATAATTGCAAAAAATAAATGTAAATAAGAAAGCGACAATTTACTAATTTTAAGTTTGTGAAAGTAATTGACTAAAAAAAAGTTAAAAAGTTTACGTAATAAGGATCGTAAAAATCATGAAAAAAAGATTTCAAAATATCATCTTTACATTGTAATTAATCTGTGATTTTATTAGTTTAAACGATACTATATTTATTATAAGTTTAATATGGCAGGATGATGGAGTCTGAAATCTCCTGCCAATTATAACAATGTGTTAAATACAATCGACAGGTGTTATAAAATTGTTCATTTAACAGCTTTAAGTTCGTGTAAATAAATATAACTGTTCTTTGGACACTTCGGCGTGTTTTTTACGAGAAGTACGAGTTGTTGATTTTGGTTTTTGTGCCAGGACTGTTCACATTGCATTCGAGATGCATTGCTGTGTCGGTTAGATTCCCGTTACCGATTAAACAGCCTTTCTCCACATAAAACGTTTCAAATTGGGTTAGCGATTTGTGAGGCGTTTACGAGCCCTAGCCCCGGGATGGGAATGAAATCGCCGAAGAAATGGGTGAAAATTGCAAAAATGTCTGGGACGGATAGCGGATGATAAATAAACCTAGTATATATATTTTTTTTTTCAAGTTTGAGAAACTGGATTGCAGCAAACGGGACAAAAATTGAAATTTTAGAAAAAAAATCTCGAAATAATCCGACCCTTCTGACAAATAGCACAAACCCGACCAATTAAGTTGCCGGAACGAGTCTGTCATGCGGGAGAAGCAAGGACAGTCGGACCAGGATTACTATATACCTGGCCTTAGTTGATTCAAACCGAAACGAAATATAAAAATTAGATTTTGGGGAATCATAATTAAACTTAGTATATAATGTCTATTTATTATATATCTGTAAATAATACATTACAAATCTGTTTATACAGTTTATACGCCTGCCTAAAAATTGATCAAACAAATCAATTTAATTCAAGGGAAAATTCAAAAGGTGGGGTTGAGATGGGAAGTTAGTGTCCCAGTGGATCGAAGTCACGATAGCTCAAGTGGTAGAGCAGAGCCGAAGATCGTGGGTTCGAATACCGCTCGTGACACTGACTTTTTTATCTCAACTAAAAACCTTAATTAATCAATTTGATATTGACGAAAGACAAAAATTATCATTTTTTTAGTTTATGTTAGAAAAGATTTCTTCGGCGACAATATTTCATCAAAGTCTCTTCTTCTTTCTTCCTATCAACATAGAAAACAAACCAAATAATTTAAATAAGACAAATTAGTCTTAAAACTTCATTGTTTAAAATAAAACACCTTTAAACATATTATGTACCTACAATATAATACAATTATAAATCGGAATCAATGTTGCCACCAGTGTTGCCCATACATGGGATGGAGGGAAAAATAGTGTCAACATAGTCCTGCTCAGCTAAGTACGCACTAAACTTAACAACCGTACTTCCCGGAATCAGTGTTGCACACAGTGTTACCCAACTCAAGTAGTTTATACGACGTTAAATATTCAACAAATTTATTTATTTAATATTGTTGAAATATATGTATTATGTACTCTCAATACATGCGACAAATATAAATAACATATCGAAAATCATATTTATATATGTAATTCAGTTGACACTATTTTCCTTCGATCTCTTGTTTGGGCAACACTGGTGGCAACACTTCTTCTGACTTATAATTAGGCTATTCTCTTTAGATTAATTAAATAGTACATTATAAAAAATGTATAGTTATTTATATATATTCAAAAAACACTAACGCAATACTACAAATTTAGACGCTCTCAACTTTGTTCGCATTAAACTTAACAACCACATTTTCATAATCAGTGTGCCCTGCAGTGTTACCCAAACAAGGTAACAACAGAGAAACAGCCTCAATTGTTTTACATATTTATTCATATAGTTTGTACAATGTTAAATATTTAACAAATTTATTTATTTAATATTGTTGAAATATATGTATTATGTACTCTCAATACATGCGACAAATAAATAACATGTATCGAATATTATATTTATATATTTAATTCAGTTGACACTATTTTCCCTCGATCCCTTGCTCCGGCAACACTGGTGGCAACCCTTCTTCCGATTTATAATTTGGTTATTCTCTTTAGGCTAATCAAATAGTATTTTATTAAAAATGTATAGTTATTTGTATACATTCAAAAAACACTAATGCAATATTATAAATTTAGACGTTCTCAACTTAGTTGGCATTAAACTTAACAACCACGTTTTCATAATCAATGTGGCCCGCAGTGTTACCAAAAACAAGGAGGGAAAAACAGTCAACTGTTTTACTCATTTATTCATGTAGTTTATACGACGTTAAAAAATGGATAAATAAATTAAATTAAATACTATGTTACATGTATGAAGACATGAAAGTCATCGATATGCCTACAATTTATGAAATATATATGTGTAGGTAGTAATGTTAATATATTTATATTATAGACACCTAAATATCTACGATATATTAAATAAATGTTACATATTTCATGTTTATACGACATATTATTTATGTACATTTAAATTGGAGAGTTCTAGAAAAAAAAGGTCTCGACGGCGCCTTGGTGAATAATAATTTAGGAAAAATAACTCGATTAAGGCGAAATAACTCTGAGAGTCGATGAACCTCCGGCTCAAAATTTTCTTAATACCCTGGTCCGCCTACACTCGCTAGTTTTGTTTGTCATTTTCCTATCTCGTGGTCGGTTTGTACGTTATTAAATAGGATGTGTTCTTTTATGAATTTCTACATACGCGTTAAATGAATTGAAATATTAAGATATTAAACTTCGGAAAACGCAAGTCTGACAGGGCAAAACAGCGAGAACAGGCGGACTGTTGCAAAGGAAGCTGCTTAATTACAGAAATGTTTGCCTTATCTCAACTCGCATTCACTGTAATGCGTTGATTCGAGCCGAAACGTGACTGGCAAACAGCGAGATTTAGGAGAGGCATAATTATGCCTTGTTAAACACTAGTTACTCTCTAATGTTGTCAACGGGGAAATACGTTGATAAGGACGAGAAAGTCGAGACGATTTGGTACAAGATTTTCCTTTTTGTTTACATTACTGCAAATTCGACAAATCCTTTTGTATACTTAAGCTTGATAGTACACAAAAAGGTGAAATTTCATTTCCTCCAGTTACAAAATTGTAAATGATTCAGAGGTTTTGACAAACCTTCGTACCGTTGCGTAATTTCAATTGCTGTTAATTTTCCCTTTTCTCTCTGTTATCGGAAACCAAAGACGATGCAGATAATCCCGCTTTCACTCTCGGGGAAACGTTTTGACCCCGGGGTCGGCGAGGGTCATCTCTTCCCAAATTATGACTCGAAACACATCGGATCGCGTTCTCCGGTTTTGACACGTAACGAAGAACGGAAACGTCTTCAAACAACTTCAACTGTGGTTTACAATTAGAAATTCGACCTGGTTAGGTCAGTGGTGTAAATGAACGACAACGGTTTTTTTAACGTCGACAGACCTAGACCGTCTTGGGATTATGGAGGTCATTTTCATACCCTGTCCTGGATCGTTTAATGTCCAATAAACACACTGTCTGCTCCATATACGGCCGATCTTCCATAAAAGGCTATTTTAAAAACTGTATTGGCAACTTCTATATTTGTAAAATTGTAGGCCGACGCAATTATTTTCTTATAAAAAATTTGTAAATTTTGTATGACGTTTAATACAAAAATCAATTCTATCAATTCGACGAGTTCTTTGTTTTCTTTTAATTTTTTTCAGTAAAGTAAAAAAAGTTAAGAATTACACACGAGACTGATCTTCAGAGTTAGGACCAAATCATCAGATCGAGTCCTTTGGAACACATTGTTTTTGTGAAGAATTTGTTTAGTGCCCTAATTATTTTTTTTACTGTTTATTGTTTTGTTTAACTTTACGGCTAAACAGAAATACGTATAATTATATTAAAACATCACCTAAAGAACTTATAACACTAGAAGATGATCTGGACCGGCATAGGGTCACTTGTTGGACCCACGGTCTTCAATCGCGAGTTTGTTGAATTATTCGGCATTGCCCCCTCTTTAGTGAGGAACAGCTATCATCAACATCATCCGATCGAGGCTGAGAAGGATGATGACAAGAGACTGATCTTCAGAGTTAGGGTCAAATCATCAGTTTGAGTCCGTTGGAGCATATTGTTTTGTGAAGAATTTGTTTAGTGTCCTAATTTTTTTTTACTGTTTATTTTCTTCTTTTTAAATACGTAATCAATAACTTTACAGCTAAACAGCAATGTATATTATGTACATTCGCGGGTTTGTTGAATTATTCGGCATTGCGCCTTCTTCAGTGAGGAACAGCCAGGATGTGGGAAAAATGAATTTATACAATGCTAGAAAATTTGAGATAAAAAAAATGAATTCAGTCATTCAATTCAAATTCTTTTTTTTAATCTATGTAAAATTTTCTAGCGATTTATAAATTCATTCTTTTAACTAAAATTTTCTAGCATTGTATAAATTCATTTTTTCCACATCCTACATGTAAAACTGTAAAATTTAAACAATGTTTATAAATCCCAGGCCCTGAAGATGATCACAATAAAGATCGAAACGTTGGCATGATAAGGAAAATGTTTTTCTAAAACCTACGTCACCCCACCTCACGATCTCCAAATAATCGTTTTCTAAAAAAATTTGTTTAATGCCCTAAATTTTTTTTCTAAAACCTACGTCACCACCTTACGATCTCCAAATAATCGTTTTCTAAAAAAATTTGTTTAGTGCCCTAAATTTTTTTTACTGTTTATTTTATTCTTTTTAAATACATAATCAATAACTTTACGGCCAAACAGCAATGTATATTATATTTTTTTAGATTAAAAAAATGAATTTATTCATTCAATTCAAATTCTTTTTTTAATCTATGTAAAATTTTCTAGCAATGTATAAATTCATTTTTTTCCACACCGTACTTGTACAACTGTAAAATGTAAATAATGTTTACAAATCCCAGGCTCTGAAGATGACCAAAATAAAGATCGAAACGTTGGCATGATAAAGAAAATGTTTTTCTAAAACCTACGTCACACCAAACCCCACCTCACGATCTCCAAATAATCGTTTTGTGAAAAATTTGTTTAGTGCCCTAAATATTTTTTACTGTTTATTTTCTCCTTTTTAAATACATAATCAATAACTTTACGGCTAAACAGCAATGTCTAATTATGTACATTCGCGGGTTTATTGAATTATTCGGCATCGCGCCTTCTTCAGTGAGAAACACCCATCATCAACATTAGAAGATGATCCGATCATGGCTGAGAAGGACGATCCTTTGGGTAGATTGATGTTTATCAAGGGTAAACCGAGAAATATGCAAATCGGCTGCATTCTGATTTCTTGTCTGTTACTTTCTTCGGCTAAAGAGATAACTGCATTTTCAGAATAGGTGGATAAAATCTGCGTGATGTTGAGAAAAGGCCCGCAAGTGTGCGTGGGCTTTTTGCCAACTAAGTACAAGTATTTTGATTAAGCGGACCCGGAAATGCCCTTTGGCCCCACCAAACTCGCTTTTTATTCTCTATTCCCATGCAACTCGGCGGGATTTTTAGGCTTTGTTCCTCCGCGTTTACGTAATAGTTCTCACGCCATCCTGGGAGTGTGAAAAACAGCGCATCCTCGATACGCGTAACTGGGTAACGGACGTCTCAATTCCTTTGAAAAATTCTTAAATAAGCTATTATTTAACCGTGATGTATACACAAATAAATAATCTCGAGAGGGGAATTTTATAAAAGGGAGCCGCGGGATTGAATGTTTTAAAGCTTCAGCCCCGTTTACTTTAAACGCTCTGAATGGAAGTCGTTTGACATTTAGGACAGTCGGGCCTGGATACGTAGATGGCACTGAGACCGTTACCTTTCGTCTCCTTTTCTCCGTAATCTCTTCAGGAAAAAAGGAAATAAAGTATTTAATAAATCAGAAGCCGGTTCGACCCAATGAAGCCTGAGACTTTCCAGTAGTCTTAATCGGTTCATAAACGTTAAATATAATTTAAAACCTCAACTGTGTGTGCTCATTGCTTATTAATTCAAGCAGTAAAAATCTTTGACAGTTTCCTGAGTTTTATTTGTTAACGTTTTACGGCGGCTAGATAAATCTGAATATGAACGTTGGAAAGTTTTCGCGTTGAGGACCTTTAACCTCGGACTTTCTTCCTCCTTCTCAACGGCACCTGACGTTTACAGCTCGGATGTACACGACGTGAAATAAAGGAAAAAGAAAGCCCGAATCGCCCACGACAAATCCCGATAATGACGGGAGGCGGGCCTGTTGAAATAGAAAGGAAGGAAGGATCCACGGTAGACGACGAAGATGCTGTTTGTTTGCTGAACGTGAAAGAAGAAAACGTTCCGTCCAAAACTGAGAATCGTGAGTGACGGAGGAGAGAAAAACCTCTTAACAGCTCGTTTCTCTTTACGTTTTGAAAATTTGTAAGGCTCGCATGGCCTTCTAATTAATATTAATTTTTTTGGAAGTTTGGATCATGAGTATAAGAAGAAAGAAGAAAGTGAAAACATAAAAACAATATTGACTGTTAATCAATTTATACTCTGTAGTAAAATGACGTTAGTCGATTGCTAAAACAAATTGGTTCCATAGTGCAAAGTTAGTTCCTTTCTCTTTTTTTTACATAAAAAAAAAGAGTCGTCGTCCAATGGGAGTGTAATTTGTAAGGCTTACATGGCCTCCTAAATTAATGAATTCATATTTTTTTTTTGTAAGTTTGGATCGTGTGATGGATCAATGAATGTAACAAGAAAGAAGAAAGTGAAAACATAAAAAAGATTGACTGTTAATTAATTTGTAACCCTGTAGTAAAATGTCGTTAGTAGATTGCTAAAACAAATCCATAGTACAAAGTTAGTTCCTTTTTCTTTTTTTTACCTGAAAAAAAAAGAGTCGTCGACTAATTGAAATGTAATTTGTAAGGCTCACATGCCCTCCTAAATTAATGATTTTTTTTTTTTTTTTTGTAAATTTGGAACATGTGATGGATCAGTGAATGTAAGAATACAGATAAGTGAAATAACTCTGAAATATAGATTGCTAATCAATTTGTACCTCTGTAGTAAAATGACAGTCGTTTGCTATTGTTTTATCAATCGACTAACATCATTTTACTCCAGAATTACATATGTAAACATATAATATATAATATGCAATATATATTGCTGTAAAAAAAAAGTAGAGAAAAGACATTTTTAATTCACACAAATAGATTTTTTTTCTTTTAATCAACAACGTAATATGTCGAATTGGCTTCTTTTTTTCTATTCTGTGAAAACAGCGAAAATAGACGGACCCCGGGAAAAGTGATCAGTGTGCATCCGACATGAGTTCATCCCAGGCCAGACTACCACACTTTAAAAGCTTAAAGCTTTCCGACAGATTTTGTAATTTGTAAAATTTACTTTCAAGGTTTTAAGCTTGTATAAATTCGGCACAAAGATAAAGTGAAAAGTTTGCAAGTAATGCCGCTTTTACCGGGGTGAAATTTGGAAAACCGGCAAAAGTTTAATAAATAACACGAAGGTAAATAAAATATACATCTCAATATATAATTAAAAATAAATATATCTATGTAAAAAAATAAAAATTTGGTACATTTTGCACTCTCGTACTCTAAATAAAGCATGGAACATTTTATATAGCGTATATTGACGTCTTTTTTTTTATTATTTTAACAAATATTTAATTGATCCGTAATTAAATATTAATTGTATAAGCATAGCTTGATCGTATTCAATCATCCTGGCCCGCTTAATCTTGCTAGATTTGTTTTTATAGCCATTTTTTTAAATCTTTAGTTCTGTGCGTTATTAAGTCAACCGTGAACTTTATAAAGTTTATGCAAAGGTGTCTCGGTGTGAGATGCGTTATAAAATTGTGCCATATTCATTGGTTAGTCTGCGCGATATTAATTCGGCTGAGGCCTTTCGTGAAGTGTTCAGACAAGAAATGAACCAAAAACCAACTGTAGACGATAGCGATATGGCGAATCACGTCTGATATTGAGTTCTTATACAGGTGATCATCAATAATCATACTGATATATTAGCCCTTAGCCACGTCCAGTGGTTGTTCTGTGCGTTATTAAATCAGTCGTGTCCTTTTATAAGGTGTTCAGCCCTCAAATGGACCAAAAACCGACCATTGAAGATGACGGTAAGCAAATCATATAACTATGTTTTTATACAGGTTGTTCATCAAAGATCATCCTGATTAATATATTAATCTTTGGCTATATCCAGCGGTATGTCTGTCGTTATTTTGTCAGCCGTGGCTTTTTCTAATGGACCAACATCCGAAAAATATAGGAAGCGGACGATTGTGACATTCTGCGACTTTTAAAACTCTTAGAAATTAGAAGAAAAAAAAATAGAAAATTGGAAAGTTAAAGAAAATTAATTTGAATAAAGAGTGAGGTATTGTTTACAAGTTTTATAAATTAAAAAAAACATAGAGGATATATTTGATCAATGTTTGCACTTTACCGCATGAATAGACATTTGTATTTTATTTGATATATATTTTTATTTCAATACCGTAAGCTCAATAGTTTAATAATTTTAAACCTAATCCGCTATGATCATCCTGGTCCGTCCAGTTTCGCTTGTTTTATTCGTACAGATACAACTTTGAAGGTGTATGTCGATGTCATAGGAGTTATGACGCTATCTTTAGTTGGTCTAGGATTTTCTATACGAAACACCTAGGAGAGCTAGCGAGAAGAGGCGGACCCGATATCGTAGGCAATCAAGCTGCAGGTTCTTCATCTTCATAATTTTTTTTTCTGTTCAAGGTTGTAATAATGTTCTGTTGCATATTTAGACGCAACTTTTTGAAAATAAATTTAAAAATTGACGAGCGTTTTAAAGACGTACCTTGTTTTTAGAATAATCGCGTCCAGCAATAATAATCCTTCACCGTTTTGGTTTGAACTTAGGATGGCGAAGTTCCCCAGTCCTGACTCAGGGCGTCAAATTCCGTCAGGCTTTCTTCTCAATTTGACCAGGGCGAAAAGTCAAAACGTACTGAGCTCCGCCTCCACGGTTTAATCGCGTTTTATATCCCTGGATGGCGAGGGAAGAAGAGATTGTCTTTCGGCGAGGATGAGCCTCCCACTCGGCGGAAGAAAGGGAGAGTGGCGTGGAAAAGACCGACGCTCGATCTTACTCGTACATAACGTAAGCATGATTTTAAATAATATTATATATATTTTTTTTTCAAATACAAACAAAAAACAATAAGTATTACTGTGCTTCACTGTCCTCTCTATAATAGGTTCATACAAGCTCTCCAGATTTAGCGGTATCTCGACAATGCATATTGTAATCGCCAGTGTGTCGAAGAAAGAGCGGGATACACTTAGATTAATGGACAATGACATAATACGACACACACACTTAATTCCAATACAAGAAAGAAATGAATGCGTTGGAGAACGACAGTTTGAGAGTATAATGGCAAAGGCCGCTAGCCCATTTTCCATCGATTCTGGGGAATGGAGAAGAACTTTGAGGAAACCAATTCCTATGTTATTTAAGAGAACACCTTTGTGTGCAAGTCTGTAAAGGTAGTTTACAACAACGCTTACTGGCTATTGTACCTCGCAGACAGTAAAAAGGAGGAACAGTTTGAACTGTCTGTATTCAAGGCAGACAACCTGAATCGATATAATAAACGATAACGACTTCTAATAAAACGTATATATTGTTTCCTAAGTAAGAAAGTTCTTATTTGATAAAAATCTTGTGTTTTACTAATAAAATAAAATTTACAAAAATAAAATTGTAGTCTATTCGTTTCCAATATTTTTCTCTGACTGCCTGTATTGAACTGTCTATATTGATTCCATGTGTCAAAAATAGCAATATAACAGACAAGTATTGAATAAGGCGAAAAACCTAAACGCGTCTGATAAACCAAATTAATCGGAACAGATCAAAATACCGGTTTAACGAACCGCAAACCACACGAAGAAATCGTACAATAAATCTATTATCGCGAAGAACACAGGTCAACAGTTATAGATGACCTGTTTCGATGTAGGTCTGTCAGAAACGGGCAGCGAGCAGATCAGAAAAGATTCAGCCAATTCAATGGATCAAATCCCATTTTTTTACAAAAAAGTAAGACAACTGTCGAAAATATAGGTTGATTTAAACATAGTTCTTGAAAGAAAACAGCGAGAATAAGCGGACCAAATAAGATTCGGTGTTAGAGTTAGCATATTTAGCCTTAACCTATTCCAATGAATAAAATAAGAACGAACAACATAAAAATTTTTTTCACAGATCAGCTATGTAAAAATTATCTGTTTCATCTTAACGTCTGTTTTGATCAGAGGTCAACGAGCATAACCGGTGACGTGAAGATTCAGGCATCTTTAGCATGATAATATAATCCAATGACTTGTCAATGAAACTATCAATTAACATATGCATAAAAAAGTTAAAATCGTTTTTCTTATATATTTAATTCGAAAACCAGCAAATTTATAATCCAGTGGATTTTTTAACTATTTATATCAATAAAACAAAAGATATTAAATAAAAACAATAAAACCACGTAATCATTTTAATTAAGTTAAAATCATCTATAGCCTATTATAGACTAACCTATTATCCCACCTTCAAGAAGGAAAAATCATAAGATTAACTGTTGAGGTCGAAATATAAGAAAACATCGTCTATAGCCTTTGCAAGAAGTCTGTGGGACCAAAACAGCCAGGAGAGGCAGACCAGATAACTAAGCAAGTTGTACCTTTTTTTACATATTTTAGTTTCCTTTGTTTTTGTACTTTTTAGTGTTTTTTTTGTTTTGAGTTTCGTGTTTGTGTTTATGTGTGTTTTCTGTTTCTGCACTGTTGTTATATTTTTGTTTTTCTTTCGTTTCATAAAATATTTTATCATGTTGTACGTGTACGTATGTGAGCGTGTTCGGTTTTAATGTTTCCTTTTTATTTTATTTTTTTTTTTTTACGAGGGTTCGCAACAGCAGAGGTTATATCAACCCTCGGGCTGCCGGTGTTTTTGAAAAAAAAAGCCCATTTGTAAGTATATCGGGTTCGAATGCAGGGCCGATGGATTCGAACCCGGGACCTTTACCTTAGAGTGATGAGCGCTGTGTCAACGCCAAAACCGTTGCGGCCACCGACGCCCTTCTAGTTGTTATTAATTCCAATATTATGTTTAAAAAATCTACCCAAAAAAACTAGTTTTTCTAACATACCAACCAAAGGTAGTTTTCTCGTGTTGGAAATAATCAATTTAAGTCTTCGTTAAAAAAAAAGAATCCTGGAAAACCAAAGTAATCAATGTAATAGAGTCTCGTGAATTAAGGCTGGGGTCAGAATTAATTCACGAGACTCTATTACATAGTAAAGGCTGGTTGATTGCATAGAAGATATTACATTCAGCAGCATCTCCTCTTTTACAGAAACATCAAAGCAATCAGTAAAATCGTTGAAAACAAGGGCAAAAAAGCGAGGGTAGGCGGACCAGATAAGACATGAAGGCGTTACTTATTACTATCACTACATACAAAAAAACATAGCCCAGTGGATCCTAGGTTTGACGCTGATTTCAGTATCAGTAATCACGTCTTTCAGTTTAAAATCGTCTGCGGTTTGGAAGAAGAATATCGGACAAAAAAAAAAGCGAGCGTAGGCGGACCAGACAGTCGTTTCTGGCCATTTGTTGTTCTACTCAAACCAATCCAATTAACTGTCAATAAATGCACAACTAAATAAATTCAAACTGTCTTAACTGATTTATAGTTAAGCGTCCTTTGGCTGTGGTTTTGAACATGCACACGAACAGCGAGAACAGACGGACCAAAAAAGTTACTACAGACCAAACTTTTAGAGATTATAGAGATTACAACATAATGTGAGTAGGAACCATCTTTTTTAAAAAGGATTGACCAAACTTTTTGTTCTAAGACGGAGATAGCGAGATTTTTTATCCTAGTTGTAGATTCTGGTCCTATATTGACCATGCAGATCCTTCGCTGTAAAACAGACATAAACAGCGAGCAAAGGCGGTCCCGAAAAGCCACCTAGTCGTCACTAGTTTAAAATTTACATTTAAAGAAAACTTACTATTCTGAAAAAAAATATGTTTGATCTCGTTTTCCATATTAGGTTTTGGGCCTAGAGATGGTCATCCAGATCCTTCGCTGTATACCAGAGATAAATAGCGATCATAGGCGGACCCAAAAAGCCATCTATTCGTCACTAGCTGAAGTTATATTTAAATAAAACTTATTATTCCGAAATGGGGGAATTTGATCTTGTTTTCCAAACTACAGGTTTTGGGCTTAGTTAGACGTTTAGTCATGCAGATCTTTGGCTGTTAGTGCCTGACATACACACAAGCCATCCAGTCATAATGTTGCTAAATTTAGAAAACAACATATATTGGGTTGTCCGGAAAATAATGCAGGATTTTGGTATTAAACAAAAAAAAAGAAACTAGTTACTTTAAAGCAATGTTCTTTAATCAAAATAATTTCCCATACTCTCAATACATTTCTCCCAACGTGTTGGTAACTTATTAATTCCGTCTGAGTAGAATTCAGAATTTTTAGAATTGATAAAGTCAATAAATGCATTTTCCAGTTCCGTTTGATTTTTGAATATTATGTGTTGTAAGTAGTGGTCCAGGTGTCTAAAAAAATGGTAGTCAGTAGGCGAGAGGTCCGGAGAGTAGGGTGGGTGAGGCAAAGTTTCATAGCCAAGCTCCAATAATTTTTGTGACGTTACACGTGACACATGTGGTCGAGCGTTGTCATGCAACAAAATGGGCCCTTTCCGATTGACCAAAGAGGGCTTCATTACTGCCAATTTCTGATGCATGGTATTAATTTGGTTACAGTATGATTCAGCATTGATGGTTTCGCCAGGATTTAAGAAGCTGTAGTGTATTAAACCAAATGAAGCCCACCATACCGTAACCATTACCTTTTTTTGATGAGTTGGGGGCTTTGGAAAATGTATTGGAGCTTCTCCTTTGTCGAGCCACTGTCCAGAACGTCTAGTGTTATCGTAGAGAATCCACTTTTCGTCACATGTAACAATTCTGGCCAGAAATGGGTCATTTTTGTTTCGACAAAGAAGTGATGCACAAACATCAAAGCGCTGATTTTTTTGGCGATCGTTTAATGAGTGTGGAACCCAATTTTCGAGTTTTTTCACTTTTCCAATCGCCTTGAGGTGGTCAGCGACGGTCGTTTTACTGACTTTGAGTTGCTCTGCAAGTTCTCGAACAGTTGTTTTGGGGTTTTCTTCCACCACTGATCGCAGAACATCATCATTAAGAGAGGAAGGCCTTCCACGACCTTCTTCATCTTCAAGGCTGAAATCTCCCTCCCGAAATTTTTTAAACCACCTTTGCACAGTGCACTCATTAACACAACCCTCGCCCCAGACTTGGTTAATGTTTCTAGCCGTTTGGGCTCCGCTTCGGCCGAGTTTAAACTCGTAAAAGAAAATCGTACGAAATTCTCGCTTTGACATTATAAGGATGACTGAATTATTTCCAAGTAGCGGAATGCTACAGAGGTAAACAAACAATATCATTTGGAAGAGGATTAATAAGTGTTGACATTCATACAAATGAGTAATCCTGTAAACGTAAACAGAATATTTTATATAGATTTTTTTTAATGAAAACTTAAAATCCTGCATTATTTTCCGGACAACCCAATAATTCAGTTGATTACTTAGCAATTTATGCCAATAAAATATAAAATAGCAAAGTGAAAACAATAAAATCACTCGATTTAAAATCGTCTGTAGTCTTTGGCATAAGGCTGCCCGATAAAAGCGGACCAGATTGGTTTTGACTAACTGTTCATATTAACAAGTTCATTCAGAGCATTTCTTCATTCGATAATTTGAAAGTTGTATATTGGGTCTTAACGGGTGAAACCAATTGTCCAAGTTTGATGTGGAATATCTGATTTTCTTTACGGAGTTTCGTGAATTTTATGGTAGTAACGTTATGCAGTATGTGCCTTTAGGAACAGAAATTGAGCCAGCTGTAAATTAATTCGTATGCCGGTGTCAGTGAGCTGCTTTTTACTTTATTTTCTCGTAGGAAGATCCTGTCGTATCAGCTTTGATGGTTTCTGGTCGAATGAGGTTCAAAAGTTCAAATGTTTTGATCTGGTCTTACGCAAGTCTCCCATTGTGGACTTGTTTTATTCAATACCTTCTTCAACGATGTGGTCAATTAATTAAATTTTGAAGGGTTTTTTTTTATAGCCTTTTGTTATATTACAGAGGACATCCCTGCTTTCCACGATTGATGCATTCTTAATGTGCTCAATTAACATTAATAAATGCTATTGCATTTGTTTCTCGTTCCTTTTTCGATTCTGTATCCTTTATTTCATTGGTGGTAGTCCTTTTGAAGAGATAGATATGATTCTAGATCTGGAAGTTGTCTCTAACAACAATTGCCCTTTTGAGGACCACTATTCCTACATTATAAAAAAAACGTATAGGTGTCTGGTGTGACGTAGGCCCTGAAGATGATCTCAATAGAGATCGAAACGTAGGCACGATAAAGAAAATGTTTTTCCAAAACCTACGTCACTCTAGACCGCATCTCACGATCTCCGAATAAAACGTATAGGATTGGATTTGTAAAAATACTCACATCTGACTTTACTTTCGGAATTGACACTATATAGTCCTTGGTCAGAAGTGTTCTGAAGAATGTTTGGTGTGGTCCCCCACGTGTAAGACTCATACTGCTGGCACGGAACGAATACAAATTAGAACTTGTGAATATCTTTTTGTCAAATCTGGACTTGGTTTCTATCGTATGATGCAGATTTTAAAGTTTTGAATTTAGTTTCGTCGGATTCACGCCGATCCGTCGCTTTTCTGATTTTTGCATTGGAAGACATTTTTGACGTTAAGGTATTGTATGGTGGAAAAGGATACTAGAAAGCGGGGTTTGTATTCCCCAGGCACTGCAGCCTTCTGGCTTATTGTACCTTCCTAGTTCCTTAGTTCAGTCAATAGACTCAATCCTTCTTCTTAGAAGTATCAGGTCACTGACTGTTGCTGCTGCAATTTGATTCCCTAAGTCTTTTCCGTACGTAAGGTTAAACGCATTGAGCGCATTCGAAGATGATATGAGTGACTGTTTCCTCCTCCTCATTACATAATCTGCAAATGGGATCATGGGTAACTGTTGTGTAGATGTTTTCTCAGATGCCAGTGACCGGTTAGTAATCCTGCCACTCCTGTAAGTTTGGCCCTCTCCAATTGCAGCAGTGTTTTTGCCAGTCTCGGGGAGGGTTGTTTCATCATAAGTTTACTATGTCTAGCACCGCTAGAATTTATCCACTTCTCCTTTTGTTTTGTTTGGATCCATTCTGCGATAGAGGATTCTATATTTGTTTTTGTTATCCCAAGAATAGGTTCGGGGCCTACGTATGGTCTTGCAGATCCTCCTCTGGCCTGTCTGTCTGCTTTCTCGTTACCCAAAATTCCCCTGTGCCCTGGCACCCAAGATATCATCAGGTTGTTGTCTTTCCCAAGGTTTTGGAGATTTTGGATGCATTCACTGACTAATTTTGATGTGATTCTTTTACATGCTAATGCTTTAATGCTTGGCTGTCTGATCTTATGAGGATTTTTTTGTCCGTGTAACCTCTTTTAAGATTTTCCAGGGCACAAGCATTGATGGCATGTATTTCTGCTTGAATGACCGAAGTGTACTTCCCTAATGAGTTTGATTGCTCATGTTTTGGGCTTTTACAGAAAACGCCTGATCCTTCGTTTGTTTTGGAGCCATCTGTGTACCATATCATCGTATCTGATGCTCTCTTGTGTACTTCCTCTCCTTTATAGTCCGTTGAGACTTTATAGGAAGTTGTGAAGTTCCGGGTTCATATAATCAGTCCCCATTTCTAATAATGGGTGTCTAATTTTGTTGATTATGGTTGTATGCCCGAATTATTTAGTTCCTTTCCAATTTAATTGTTTCTGGAGCCTAAGTGAGCTTTTCCTAGCCTCTCCTGGTATGAATATTTCCAGTGGAGGTAGGTTTAGCAAAGTTTCTAATGTAGGGGTTGTTCTCATCGCCCCTGTGATACATAGGTTTGCTAGTCTTTGTATACTGCTTAATGTTTGGGTAGCTACTCATTTTTGACGGAATTGTCCACGCCCCAGAATTTCTTTCTCGGCTTTGTTTTAAACTCCCTAATAGTAATCTGCGATTTTACGAGCTGTTTTATGTTCCGACTTGCAGGACGAATCGGTCCTCGACTAAATGTGTCGTCAAAATATACGCTCTAATAAATAAGTTTAAAAAAAAAAGTGACCCATTTGTCGACAGTCTGGGTTTTCAAAAAGAAAATTTATAAATGTTTGAAAACATAAGGGTGAAAATGTCATTATTTTAATGTGTTTATTTTGACTTTAAATTGTAAACTTAGATCTGTAATTTCGTATTTTATTGTGTTGTTTATTTGTATTTAGTTTTATTTCGTTACAATTGTAATTCACATAAGGCATTTTTTTGTAATTTATTTTTATTTTTTCAGTGATAATATTATAATAGCGTATATGAATTATGTAATTGACTGTCCTATCCCGGGGTTTTGTCCTCGTTTGAACTAATTGATGGATAAATAATTGAATAAATTGTAGAATTACAACCACGAAGGAATTTGACCAGTTCACATTCTTTCTCATGTCAACTGGATAAATTCTACTTCTTTTCAAGATCGATGACCCTCAAGCTGGGTGACTAAGTTAAAAAAGGGCAAATAATGATACTGAAGATTTTTAAAAATTAATTATGTTGCTGTTATGTTTTAAATATTTGGTGTATAAATCTAAGAAATTAAATTTCTGATTTTATTCCCAGATTGACTTCAGAAAAGTGTGTTCAGGTTATTACTCTATAATTAAAAAATGTCTTATTCTATTATTATTTTAAAAATAACTGAGAGTTAGAGATTTTAGCTTAACAAAAGAACAGATAGATATTACTTGTATTTGATTGGAAATTTTTTTAAATTAATGCTACGAAAAGGTGAACGGTGTTTTTCCTGTTAACAATTGTTTATCCAGGTTATCTGCATAAAATTAACTCTTCGGAACTGCTTTTTAGGGTAGACCGTAATAGCGACACCCTTTTCCACGAGGAAGCTTTGCCATAACAGTGGAGGATTACGCTACAGAGGTGAAACTCTCGTCCATGGGAATCTCCTAATTATCCCAGAGAAGAAAAGACGAACGGGCATCAAGAAAAAGAAAAACGAGGCGTTGTTAAAAACAAGTTTTTACTGTTTAATCTTTGTTATATACTTTTTTAAAATTATTCTTGTTTTTTTTTTTCATATCAATTTACAAATGAAAAATAAAAAGGCCTTATAAATATATTGCTATGCGAATTTGTTTAAATGCTGCGCGCCCAAATGTTGCCCGTCTTTATTATTTTATTACATGGAAGACTTGAATTTTTAATACAATCACATTTATTACTTTTATATTAATTTTCATACTAGCTAAATAACAAATTGGAAGACTTGTATTTTTTTTGCCTCGTTCATTTTTCTAAATACACATATATCAACTATAGCTTACAAACTATCAACAATTTTAATTTTTTTTTTAGTGTTTTGAGTACAAAATAGTGTTTTTTAAACCTATAAAAGAGGTTCTGTCTGTGGAATCCGATAGAATTATGACTAAGAGCTCATACTAACTCAACTTTACTAGTATTACACAAATATCTAATATAGTAATAATTAACAATAATATATACTTCTTAAAAATTTCAAACTTAATCACCTAAGTATTCAGTAAAAAACAAAGAACAAGTTCATTGAATTGAAATAGTAGGAAATAATAAAATAATTTATTTGTAATCAATTAGGCATTATTGTTTTTGGTTTATGAGTACAAACTAAAAATATCAGTACAGTAAAAAAAATTTAAAATTTATAATTAACAAGGTTAGCAATATAAAAAAAGCATAAATTACAAAGGTAGTATGAGCTTTTTATTACACTTATTTTGGCTTTCTATCAGATCCACATCTCTGAATACTCAACGCATTTTTTTTTTCATGGAAGACTTGTTTACGTTAGGCGTTTTTGTTTTTTCTTTTCACACAATACATACAATACAATCAAAATTTAAATACACTTTTTACATATACAATATCGACGATAACACCCCCCCTCAAATTAACCCTTACTTCTAGTTATATTCAATTTTGCTTTTGTGGAAGACTTCGTTACAATAAATTGTTTTTATTTATAAAAGAAAGCATCTAGATTTTTCTAACCCCAGCCTTTACTCAGAAGTTTTTCCCCTTCGCTTCCCTCACAACAATAAATTGTGAACAATCTTAATTTTTTGGCAGTTTTTAAGTTTAAAAATTGTTTATTTTAAATCATTTTTATTGTCGTTAATGCGATTATTAGTCTAAGCATTAAAATCTACCTCTAAGTGGGAAATATTCAAATTCATTCGATACAGAGGACCGTGTCAGGTCTGTGAGTGAACGAAAGGGAAGAATCTTTCGAGTACTTACACCTTCGGTATTTACACGGTACTGCTCGGTTTTTAAAACGGGAGGCCGATTTTGAAGGCGGAGATAAGCGCAGAACCGGAATCGTAGACGCCGATGACGGCGAACAAGAAGCCTAGGAAGATGATGAAGGCGTCGTAGGCGAGCTGCTTCGAGGTCATTTCGTGCCCTTTCAACTTCATGTGGAAGTAACAAGGCCAGATGAAAGAGAGCATGGTACCGGTGAAAGAGCCGATGAACCCCATGAGAATGGCGAAATGCGGTATTGATATCGCCATGAGGACAGTGCTGAGTATGAGGCCGACCTTGAAAGTCAGACCCCAGATCTTCAACGTCCCGTCGAGATTCCATATGGTCGGAAGGACGTCGCCCGAAAAAATTGACTTTTCGATCAGTTCGGACGCTGCGTAATAAGGAAGAGGATAAGAGAGGACTGCTTTGATAACGAGGAAGAGGTTGACCATGGCTTTCAAACCCGCCGAATCCAAATTATTAGTGATCACTTGTTGCGTGTCGTTCTGGAAGGTGAGGAAGCAGACGTAACCGAATATAGATTTGAAAGCCGCCGCTGCGATATGAGACCAATCCAACATCCAATTGAACTTAGATCTGTCTATCAAGTTGCCTTCTAAGGTCGGCAAGAAGATCTGGGATGTGTAGGAGAACACAATTACGCCCAAGCTAATAGGGAAGTTCTCAAAATCCAACTCCCACTTGACTTTTGACCAACCCCAATCGGGAAGTTCGGTGAGGCAGTAGGCGAATATGATGACGTTGATGACAAGATGGGACATTGTGCACCAAAAGCTCAGCGTCGAGACGTGATGGAGGCTTTTCAAAAAAGCCAAAGGCACGAGGAATATGCCGATGAACATCATCCAGGACCTCGTGTCTATCGGTCCGTCCGGGAAAGTCCCGGCCATGAGGTCGCCGCAGACCACCACGTACAGGATGCACGTCATCAGGAGTTCGATGAGCTGTGCCGTGTTGACGGCCCTCGCCCCCCAAACCGGTCCGAACGCGACGGCTGCTATACCGACGTACGAATCCCTCACCCTGACACGTCTTCCTGTTTCGTCCTGCTCGTACAGGCATTCGATGAGAATCTTCCCGGTGTAGCAGCAAATGTGGGCGATTCCGATCATGGCAAATATGGCCCAGTAGCCTCCGCGAAGTACTGCGAATGGCAACGAAACTATGAACATCCCCTGAAAAAGAAAAATTTATTACAAACTTTAAAACATTAAATTATAACTTTAATATGTTTTGTTTTTATAAAAAAGACAAATCTAAAATAGAACCTAATTCGTTCAACAGGTCGATTGCCAATTATCAGAATGGCCCACTCAATAGGCTATGGTTTTTTAACGAAACTGCAAAGTATGTAACAAAAAAATGTAATAAATGGAAAGCAAATCGATTCTTCAAGCACAAAAAGGCGTCATTGATCAACTATTGGAGTGGCCATAGCCTTATTATTTATTCGGACCTAATGCCGAGGTTCCGGGTCAATACTCATGGGTCAATATGGGACTTAGAGGACTTTAACCTCTGTTGCTACGACATCATTATACGAAAAAGAAAAGCCAATAACCCCACAAAACTGGGCTCATGTAACTGAGACAGAAAATGTCACAATCGTGGACGAGTTAAAATTTGATTCCATAAACGGAAATTATGACTATGAGGTTTTCATGGATAGGTAGCACAATTACAAACATGGTCGGATGCGCTATCTTGATTATATAAAAAAAAGAATCGTGACAACATCAAAGCATCGTGGTGTTCGAACAACCAAGACGAACTTCTGGCCATTATGAATGCACTAGAGGAATTCTTATAGAATGAAACGGGAGGTGCAAAAAGAACGACAATTCTTCATACGGACAGTGAAGTCTCTACCACAATGATTCAACACCACAGAACTCTTAAATTAGTTGAAGGAATCAGAAAAAAAGCCTAAAAATATTGCGACATGATTTCGGTTACAATTTGTAGGGTCGAGGCACATGCTGGTGAAGTGGGGAATGAGACCGCAAAAGAGACAGCAAAGGATAAGGGAACACCCATAGGTTTCGCAGAGGTTCCTGTAACCTACGTCAAAAATCGTACTGAGGAGGAGAATATAAAAAAGAGGGAAGAAGAATGGAAAAATATCAATTTTGCAAAAATAACAAAACGCTAACAAAAAAAAAAAAAAAAAAAAAAACAAAACGCTATTATCCGACTATAACATCGCCTTCGACTAGAAATAAAGAATTCCTTCACATCCACAATGGCCATGACAAACCATGGTAAAAATAGATAATATCGTCCAAGATTTAATATAATAAGTAATCCTGCACGCCCTTGTGGCTACAATAACCAAACCTGGGCTCTTGCGAGTCAAGAGCACGACAGGTAGATGGCCCTCAGAGAACCTGAGTGGGAGATGAGGGATCGTCCTCACCCGACCGAGGATTGGTCATATGCGGTTGGCAAAGCTGCTTTTGCCCCTTACGCAGAGAAAGGTTGTTCGATGTGTCCCATATAATAGAGGCGTGTCATGCCTTGGCTCAATACAGAGAGCGTGTAGGCATGCCGCCGGGTTTAAGAATGGTTCTCAGACACGGTAGCGAGTTTCCGGGTTCCGTGGTCTGCTTTTCAAGGGAATTGGGAATTTTTTATTGTATATAGCCGTCAAAACATGTGTTTTGTATGAATGAGTGTATTTATTAGAGTGAATGGGGAGGGGCTGATGGTAGAATAGCATTCCCATGCCCCTCGAGCTGTGTACGTGACTTGGGTTGATGAATGTAATATAGAAGTGAAAATGTATTTATTTGTGTGAATGCGTATTGAATGTATGTTGTAATATTTCGCAAGCGCTCGGAGCTGAAATGACAAAATAATAGATTGTTGCATATTCGACATAGAAAGATCTATTTTGATACGATATTTGGCTCAAAATAGTGAAACTTGGCCAATAGAGGAAGAAAATCAGATTTCGGTATACCAGAAACAGTTCTTGAAATCTGTGAACTGTTTGTGATGTCCTCCTAATAAAATAGCTTTACATTTTTAATATTAATTGATTAACTAATGATCATCGCTCCATCTTTTTTCAGTCTTTGTTACTATTTAGTTTTAATATGCTTTTTTTTGTGAAATGTTGAAAAACTATAAAGAAATAAATAATTCGGCATGTTTGGACAAAGTTATTGTTGTTTATATTAAATTGATAAGCAATAGTTAATCTACAGTTGATGGAGGAATATTCAATACTCTATCCACCGAATTGAATGAATGCAATGTACATAGGTTTGAATGTATTTATTTGTGTGAATGCGTGAAAAAGGTAAAATGAAGCATGTACAACAAAACTGTATTCTATTACCTTAAGAATTTATATAATTCTAATGTCTGTAGTCTGATAATAACAGCAGGCAGAAATAAACTTATTTAAAAAAATCTGTTGCTTGGAAGATCTTGAAAAATATTGATGACCCAAACCACATTTCATCAATTCATAATGATTCATGTGCAATTTACTGTTTTATCTAATTGTTTGGTGTGATATTAAACTAACATTGTGTAAAAGGCAGAAGAAAAGAAGAAAAAGCAGCCCATATCAATGAGTGCCGACTGAAAATTAAGAAATATTAAAGCAGTTTACGAGTCCATGAGCAAATATGACAATTTTACGTTTCTTTTTCTGGAATAACATTGTTTATAGGATAAAAATTGTAGTTATTGTTTCCTATCATCCTGTTTTGCCTGTCCTAGTGTCAATGTTGATTCCAGGAATGCATGAATGTAAACCCACCACTGATGACGGTGAAATGCTAAAACTGCATACCAGAACAAACCAGCGAAGAAAGGTACCTGGAATATAAGAAACGATCAAACTACAGGTTCATCACATTGTGAAATCAGTTTGCATTGAAAGAATACGTGGATCGAAAACCCACCAATGATGAAGTTGAAAAGGATTGAATTTGAATTGAACATTTTATTTATAAAATCTCGCAAAATCAGGTCTCATGGACCTTTCCTGCCTTTAACGAACGACGAGTGAATACAAATAAAGTTTACATAATTCAAAATACAAAATATGTTCGTATAATACAAATATAATTTTTCTACTGCCTACATATATTTTTAAATATGACGTACAGAGTATGGCTGAAAATAATCTATTGGAGTGGAAAGTTTTTAGATGCTTGTTATAAACTTTTTTAAATTTACATGATTTTAAAAAAATTGAGAAAATTGTAAAGTTTTATAGATTTAGGAAGAAATTATTTATAAAAACAGTGTGTAGGACATAAAGGCATTTTAAATGCAGTGTTTTTTTACTTTAAAATAAGAAACATTATCAAATAGGGATAATGTTTTTTGTATTGTTATTATGTCATGGAAAATAGTCAATATGTTGTATTTTAACAAATCATAAATTTTTAAAATGGATAAATTACAGTATTGGGCATAAATTCTAGAATCATAGTGTAGATTAAAGATATAGCGAATATACATATTTATAGTGACATGTAACTTGTGAAGATTTTTACTAGAAAGACTAGAAATTACTGCAACGCCGTAAGTTATATTTGGAAGCATTAGTGCGTTAAAAAGCTTTAGCTTTATGGATGAAATATTAATATTAAATAGTTTTTTTTTTAAATTGATATATAATATAATTGATAGTTGTATCAAAAACCCACCACAAAGGAGTGGCATACCATAAATGCCGTGTGACATACCAAAACAGATAGGATAGGTGGACCAGAATGATCGGTGGCCAAAATAGACGATTATCTGCCCGCAGACCACAAGAAGAAATGTCACTATGTCGTTCCAAAATGAAACTGTGACGGGGAGTTTACTCTATTATAGTTTATAGTTAAATTTAGTACTTAAATATGCATATGTAATATTTATTGAGAGTTGCTTTTCTGTGTCCTAGCAAGGTCAAGAATGGCATATTACCTGGATGGCGTTGGTGACGTTCCATGCGGCTTGCCATTCGTTGATCTTCCCCCTGGAATGTCCTTCCGAGTCGAACCCCGACTCTCCGCCCTCGAAAGATCCCGGCGAGCCGTCCTCCCTGGTCCCGTAGTCGGTCATCTCCGTGGAACCCCGTCTGAATTTGTCACCCTCGCCCGGCGACGGGCCCTTGAACTTCTTGAGGAACTCGAGGCATCCTCCTTTGTCCGGGATGGCGGACCGGATCGTCTCCCGGGCGACGTTCACCGCCGCCGAGAACGGGGGCAGCCGAGAAAACAGGAACTGGGCCATCTGGGAAATTTTTAAAAAACTTAACTGTACCAACGTGTGATTAAGCACGGATTGCGGACTTCTGGAAGAAATTGAAATATGTAAAATACCTGTTGAATCAACTTTCATTGATCAAGTTTGATTAACGGCGGCCCTAATTAATTTTGTTATTAAAAAAGCTATAAGAAATTACTATTTCAAATTTTTTAATGATTTGCTATCATCTTGCTTAGTTGATAAAAGCCTTCTGATAACAATATTTACAATTTTTATTAGTTGAAGATTTCCCCTTTGAATGAAAATTTACATAAACCTCACTCTCTTACTTATCGTGTTTATATTTGGTTATACAATAATAAAGCGTATGTAAAATGTATGTTAAGTCTGTACGAATTAACGTCTTTCTTGCGTTATGGTTCCTGCTTATCAAGTGAGATAATTCTGGCCTTTTGTCAGTAGAAATGTTCTTTCTTGCCATATGCCTCCACCTCCTTCACATTCTCTTTCTTCCTTTTTACCTCTTAAACAGGACTGACACAGCACTTTCAAAAGCAGGGGAATACATTAAGATCTTTTGTGTATTCTGAGGTGCGGCCATTGTCGAATTCGAAGAAATAATCCAGGTTTTGAAAGATTCAGGTCTCATAAGGAAGACTTTACACTAGATTCTTACAGTAAAATTTAAAAGAAAAAGATCTAACGTCCTACAATCTATATAAATTTAATCAATTTGATCTACAGGTAAATGGTGTACGAGTAAAATGTAAAAGATGAAACTCACTTTGTAGAAGTCGAGTCAAAGGCCTGTACTATGATTCGCTTCTATCCAGAATCCGAGATCTTTCGAGTCCTGAAATTGTGCCGTGACTCAAGCGAGCATCTCATCAATTTTGACTCCTAGACTTCTTTGAAATGGCCCAAAATCCCTTGTTTCGACCAAAGCTCGGCTCCCGTCTCCAAAAATCCGCCCGTGGCGACTGTCTCTCCTAGGGGGGCGTGTTTATTGATTTTCAAGGGACGACTTAACCGCCCCCGTCGACGCACTCAAATACGGGAGGGGCGTCCAAATTTTCAAATCGTATCCTTTTTATATTTTGTTAATTTTGTTCTTCCTCATTTTATTGTTTATGTGTAATTCGAGATGAATCAATCATAAAATAAGCAATAAATTTGGAAGCCTTTGATCATCTTGGTCTGCCTTCCCTACGGTAGGTCAAAATGACTTAAAAACACGGTGGCAAAAGACAGAAAAACAACTAATGTATTAAACGAACAAAACTATCAGGATCAAGATTTAATGGAAACAACTAAAATCTAACTTTTTACAAACCCCCAATTAAATATTTTACAATAAAAAAACAATTGGTCGCACAGGGGGAACTGCTTTCACTTACTTTATTCGATCACGTACCTCAAGAATTCATCACGCGCAGATCCACCAAGTACCTCACAACATACTACACTAATGTTGCCCAGGGAGGACTACTATTACCTACTTTATTTAACAACTAAATTCCAGAATTCACCATCTTGCACATCCACTAAACATCTAACAATATACTACACTATTGTTGCCCAGGGAGGACTACTATCACCCATTTTATTTAGCCTCTAACTTCAAGAATCCACCATCTTGCACATCCACTAAACATCTCACAATATACTACACTAATGTTGCCCAGGGAGGACTACTATTACCTACTTAATTTAGCCACTAACCTCAAGAATCCACCATCTTGCAGACCCACTAAACATCTGAAAATATGCCACACTTGGGTTGGCATAGGGAGGACTACTATCACCTACTTTATTTAGCAACTTACCTCAAGAATCCACCATCTTGCAGACCCACTAAACATCTGAAAATATGCCACATTTGGGTTAGCACAGGGACGACTACTATCACCTACTTTATTTAGCAACTTACTTCAAGAATTCACCAGCTTGCAGACCCACTAAACATCTGAAAATATGCCACATTTGGGTTGGCTCAGGGAGAACTACTATCACCTACTTTATTTAGCCACATGCTTCAAGAATTCACCATCTTTCAGACCCACTAAACATCTGAAATTATACCACACTTGTGTTGGCACAGGGCGAACCACTATCACCTTACTTTATTTAGCCACTAACTCAAGAATCCACCATCTTGCAGACCCACTAAACATCTGAAAATATTCCAGACTTGGGTTGGCACAGGGAGGACTACTATTAGCTACTTTATTTAGCCACTTATTTAAAGAATTCACCATCTTGCACACCCACTAAACATTTGACAATATACCACACTTGGGTTTGCAGAGGGATCACCAAACATCCACATAAACCTAATTGGCGAGTTTGAAGAAGGTTGTAGTATTTTTGGGTGTCATGGTGAAGTCGAACTATACTCCCTAAGTCTCTGTGCTAACCTCGCATTGCTGATTTGGGCTTCCATTGGCCATTTGTCTCTGCTCAGCCGATCATATTCAAAAATGCTGCTTTTGGTCTTATTCCTTATGGCATTTTTAACATGAGGATTGTTCGGTCGTGCCCAGGGCTTGGGACAACAATTTGCCCGCCTTTTCTTTATACTCCAAACCGACTTTCGACAACGCTTCACTGACCTTCATCGTCATCCATTTCGAAATGTGACAAGATCAGAGATCGAGCGATCCAAAATAGGGAGTGGGCTCAGGACATGCCTTAGCCTGTTTCAGACGAGATAATCTTGCGTACCTCGATATAAATGCCAAAAACATAACTCGAAAAAGGTAAGTCATTTAATTGGTATATCATTCGGCAAATAAATCAACCCGGACAAATGTGACAGGGAGTAACTTTTACAAGTACTTACAAGAGTTCATAGTTGCTCGTGATCCGGATGTACTGGCATTTTACGATCGTTCTCTAGAATCCCACCACAAGTCGAAAGTAAGATGCATACTCAGCCAAAATTAAACACCCTCGAGGCCTCTCGACGATCTACACCAAGCACGTTTTTCTGGCTGAAAAATAGGTCATAAGTGGCTCTCCCTGTTTCCTCTCTACTGGAATTGACCGATGAATTTTAGTAGAACTATCACTGCCCTTCACCTCAACGCGTCATTAAGTGCCAACTTTGATCAAACACCAAGCCAACGAACCGCACTTTACCGTACCTTATCTCAGCGCTCCTGAGACAACCCGAAGATCTGGGGCCTCTACTAAAAATGGACGCGATGGATTTTCCAGAAAAGTTAAATCTATCAGCTTTAACGGTTACCGTCGACTGCAACAAATCTCCAAACTTTCCCAGGCTTTTACTGGAAAGCGTTCTCGATGGGTTCTCCGTTGTGTTGAACATACAATGATCTAGCAGACCCAGCGCTGAATATGTCAGAATGCAGAAGTCTGACAGCGAGTATAGGAAGACCAAACTCTGCTGGAAATACTGAAGTCCTCTACGTTTCAGTAATCTTAAGTGGGACAACATCAGCAATGTTCTTCACCACCGAGACAGAAAAGAGAAGAGTAACACTGATCACCTAACCATGAAGATTGACAATGAAATAATAATATTCGAAAAGAAAATAATACATTGGTGATTTCATGGAAACAAGTGGAATTCAAAGAGGACTTAAATTTTAAGTGATGAAAACTGGTGGAAGTGGAGTTGAGCAGTTATAGGGTAATGCAAATAATTAAAAAGGGACTAGTTTCATCAAATCCTAGTTTTTACCTCTATGCTGATTGTAGTTTCTTTATTATTTTAATATAAAATTGAAAATTTCATCAATTTGGGGTCAAGAAAAAGTGAGTTAATTAATTAAAAATTCTATGTTATAAGTAAAAGTTTCAACTTACTTATTACATCATTTTTTTATAAGATAATTTTTAATGTAAGTTTATTGATTATGTGTTTAATGTTATTTTCCGAGGGGTCCAGTTAATCACGACGTCTCGAGTTAACACAATACACCAAATGGAATGTTAAAAATAAAAAAGCTTGTTTTCAGAATATATATATTATTTTATAGCGGAAAAAATCATTTTTGTATGTTAAAGTTACCAACTAGTACAACCTTTATTTTCACTTTTCATATGTATCTTTTATTTGTTATTATTATTTAGTTTGATATGGACTTTCTCGCTCGCTCTCACACAGCTCTTCTCTCGCAAACACTCACACAAATAGAAATTAAGTTACAACTTAGGCCTTTAAATTTCATTGTCGCACATTTATATAATTTTATTACCGCTTTAGGCCAGAGAGTTTTCTTGGAAGAGACATCGATTTTAAGTTCTATACACCCAAAATTGCTTCTCATTTTTTTTTTCTTTTTTTAACTTTGTTTCCTACAAACTAAAAACAAAACACCGAATATTGTATTTCAATTGTTAATGGGTTTTTAAAGTACGTGAAGATTCTCGCAGCTCTTCGATTTTCCTTCTGAGAGGCAGACCTTGGCGAGAATCTCCTTGGCCGTGTAAAGACTCAAAGACGTTTTCGAGGAGTGGAGGCGTCTCCTGGCTTTTTTCTGCTCTTTCGCCTCTCTCAGTCTGATTTGCTTGAGAATCCCTTTTTAACAGAAAAATATATAATTAGTAAGAAGGAAAAGAACGAAACAGGTGAAAAATTTTGATGCCTTACCGACAAGTAATTCGTCCACGTTGTGCTGTATCCCGCTCGAGGTCTCGATGAACTTGCAGTCTCTGGAGGCGGCCAGGGCTTTCCCTTCTAATAAAAAAAAAAAAATAGGGGAAATAAGTCGACCCAGGGCAAAAATAAAATTTCAGACAATAACTGGACTGTGACACATAAAATACTTAATTAAAATGAACTTTTCCCCCCTCTGAAATGAATTCTTGGGACGACCTATTGCATTAAAACAAAAAGTGCAGTAAAACGAAATAGCGAGACCGCGCATCCCCCCACGCTATTCAGAATTTGACAAACCGTTTCACTCTGTTCGAATTAAATTAAATTAAATGCCATTGTGACAATATTCTTATAAAGTTTTTTTTCTTTTTTTTGGTACCAAGTAATATTCAATTTAAAATAACGTTCAATATGTGGTAAAACCATGTCAAGTAAAGTTTGAACTTAAAAGCATTGTCAACGTCCGCATATTAACATGTCTGGCCCGAGAATCAGTGATTATTCTATTTGTTTACTGTCAAACTATGTATGAAAAGCAATAACCACTATATCAAGCATAAATGTCTGTGACCAAATTACTTCTTTCAATTAATTAATCTTTTTAAGTATGGTTTTGGTTGAAATGAAAAAGTTAGTGACAGGAGCGGGATTCGAACCCACGACCTTCGGCTCAATAAGCCGCTGCTCTAACCACTTGAGCTGTCGTAACTTCGATCCACACGGACACCAACCCCCCTTCTCAACCTACAACCTTTCGAATTTTCCCTCATTTTTGCCATTTTTCAAAATTCGAAAGGGTCTAGGTTGAGAAGGGGAGTTGGTGGTCCGAGTGGATCGAAGTCACGATAGCTCAAGTGGTTAGAGCAGCGGCGTATGAGCCGAAGGTCGTGGGTTCGAATCCCGCTCTTGACATTAACTTTTTCATTTCAACCAAAACCTTACATAACAACATTAAATAATTTATATTCGTTCATATGTTTAACCGGCACTGGGGTATATACCTATTGGAGGTTTTTGAAGTGTCGGCTTCATGAAGTGTCTATCAACGTAAATAGCCGGACATTACCGCTGAACAACGAACACCCGTTGCGACAAACGACGGACCCAACAGCACGTGCAGACAGACCTTATAAATAACCCAATGCCTGGTCCAACATGTGTTCGCCGTCTCGCAAACCATTACCCACAATCATATTTTAGTGCATTGGCATTAAAGTTTACAAAGTGCACTTATTCAGTAGAAACTGCAAGCAGTAGTGAAGAATGCTCAGGTAGGATGTGAGTGGATAACTGTACAAAATGAATGAGGTCAGTGGGACGAGAAAGAATTAGGACTTGTAAATGAAATATTTGGACGACCTATAAGTCCGCAACTGTATGTCCTGAGAAGTCAGATACTGATTACTGATTTATATAAGCTCAAATCTGCCCACGTCTTACATACATAAACGCGAGCAAAGCTTATCACTTCTCGCAATCCACCACCAAACCCAGCTTTTGTAATTTACAATAATTTAACGGTATGCCTCGAGAATCACTCACACTAAGTGTTTGCGGTTCGGTGTGGCCTCGGTCTTGTCCGTCCAGCCAGGTTGTACTCCAGGGGTATCAACAGCTAGGTTATTTTACCCCCAACTTAATCAGTTCATAAATCCAACCCATTCACAATCTCACTCACTCTTAAATACATTCTTTCTTATTCACATACGATTCACTCAGGGTAGTGGAGTACATGATATTCCTCATTCACGCTAATAAATAATTCTCAACAAACACGTTGATACACAACAATACCAGTACTACATACAATAAATCGATGTGTTTCCTCCAAGAATCGGAGCAGTGAACTGAGACACTCGTTTCCGTGCTCATGAACCAATCTCATGGTAGCATTCCTACGCGCCTCTATAAGAAGGAAAGGGATTGTTCCCTTCAATTAGGTAGGACTCGTCTAGCAACCTTTCTCTGCCGGACACATACGCGAGTTTTAGCTCAAACATTAGTGTCTGTGTGAAAACCTTTCATGGCCTATCCTTAATCGGGTGAAGGTGACCCTTCTTCCAGAGGTCAGAACCTCCGAAGATCACCGGTGCTCTTCATCCATGTCAGCTTCTCTGCAGATCCAGCCCAACGACAAGCCATTTTCTTTCAATCATGTTTTTTATTGCATTTTAGCGTCAGAGAGCCGGATCTCGTCGGACAGACCGGGGGTTGGCCGTCAGTGGTAAAAATATTGTATGTTATATATTTCTTATATACCATCCTTTGTACGTTAAATACATCCAAAAAGTCCAGGATAGCTTATACTACAACGGTCATTGGAAGTTACAACAAAGTTTGTAAGATATAAATACTTTTTTCAAAATCTATACTTTTGTTCTCTTGTTGAACCATGCTTCCGCGGGTTATCTTCTTAGATTAAAAAAGGATCTGAATTACGAGTAAGATCAGTTCTATACCTTATAGTTGTTGTAAAAGTGTTGAAAACATCGGCAATGTACATTGTAAAAAGGAATGGGCTTCTGATACCCCCTTCAGCTACTCCTCGAACCGATCCGTCAGATTCGACAGAGAGTGTTTGTGGATTGTTTCATAAAGAGCCAATGAACGTCCATCAAGCAGGAATATAATGTTTCTCACCATGTAATTACAGATCATTATCTTCCTTCAAGCTATCAAGCAACATTAGTTTGATGATGGCTAATGTTTGCTGAGCTTGGAGATGCTTTAAGCACAGCTTGGCTATTTGGAGACTAATCATGCCTTCTATACTTAGCTCTTTATTCTCGTTAACACAAAGTTCAATTTCTTAAATCTTTCCAAAAGGAAAAGGCAGTTTAAGATTTGATTTTATCCAATAAGTACTATTCAGTATAAAGATAGCCTTTCTGATATCAGAATTTTGCATTTATTTGCTAGTTCCTTTTGATGTTCTCTTAATTTAGTTATGATGGAGGTAACATAGCCCAGTTGTATAAGCATATGTGCTTCAAGGTTCAATTTACATCCTCAAGGCAGACAGCCTCGAAAGATAAATAAGCTCATGACAATAGAAAGCAATGTTTGCTTAAATAATACTATCAAATCTCAACTTTTACCCAATCTAAAGCTTAATCCAGATGCTCTTATAATCCAAAGGGTTAAAAAGTATAGTTTGTGCTGGACGGTACAATTAGTAGCAATCGAACAGGGGAAGAAAGTCTTAAAATGGCGATTTTAAGTTGATAGTTACCACTTGTCGCAACGGTCCTAGCTCTAGCGAGGTCCACCTTGTTTCCGACGAGTATCACAGCCTTCTCCTTCGTGTAGCTCTCCCTCCAAAGATAGTTGAGGATGTCCTCGGCTACTTTGAAAGTCTCCTTTTGTATGACGCTGTAGACGACTATAGCGGCATGCGGTTCGTACGTCGACAAGTTGTTTTCCACCTAGGCAATTAAAAAGAAATAAGCCATGATTTTTATTAAGATGAGGGATCGACACTCACGGACATCTCGGCGGACGGGTGGTCGATGAAGACGACCTCCGACTCTTCGCCGTCTAGGAGGATGCACACTGTCTTCTCGCCAAATTCGTCATCTAGAAAATCAAAAAGTTAGGGGAAAAAGGCGAAACGAGGAGAAATTCGTTTACCTAAGGAAGCGTCGTAAGTGTTCATGTATTCGGATGTCATGAACTGAGAGACAAGAGCCGTTTTGCCGACTCCCGACTCTCCGAGGAGGACTACCCTGTACTTGGGGATATCGAATGTCTCAGAGGAGACCTCAGTCGTTTGTGAACAGCAGGACCCCTGCCAGGGGGAAGGTGGCGAGAGCCGGCTGTTCGTTGAATTAATGGAAGTGTTCGACCTGGAACGACGGTCCCGGATGGAGTCGCCGTAGTTCACCACGCCTTTGTTGGTAATGCAGAAGTTCCTGAGGCGGTACAGGTCGTCCGATAGTCTAGGGTTGAAACTCTTCTCGGGCAGGGAGCAGACCCTTGGTCGGGCGTGGTCCGCGACGGGAATTTGAAGTTGGTTAAAATTCTTTTTGGGGATATTCAAATTGGGCAAAGGTGCGATCTCAGACCCCTTGCTAGACCTACGGCTCGCCAGGAACGATAAACCTAAATCAAACATTATTACCTATAAATTTGTATAATTACATTTAAAAACATATCCATTGAAAGTAGACAGTTCATCGACTCGCGGAACACTAAGCGGACTTCCCTGGCATGTTGTTTTTGACAGAATTGACGTCTGGACGTGAACTCTTCTCCAACTCAATTAATGAAAAGAAACTTAATCCTTAATAAAATTATTTAGTAACAAATTTAATATTTAATATAAGAAATAAGACTCCTCCACTAACAAGTTTTGAACTAGCGAATCTTCATCAGTTCGTACTCTAATGGACGTATCATCTATGCATAAGTACTTTCAATAATCAATATTAATTCTAATTAAAAAAAGGACAATGAAAAATTAAACCTTGAGTACACACAGAAGCATGTTTAATGATTGTTTTAGGAATAAACCTTCTTTTTCTTTTGGTAGTTTGTTTTCCTTCTTTAATGAAGGCTGTACAATTTTATGGATTCATCAAGGTAGCCTTATGAATTGAGAACTTTTTAAGCTTAATTTAGTTTCATATTTCATTCCATTTTGTTAGTCAGTATCACTTCTTCAGGAAACCTTTTTTTTAAGTTATGATATTAAAACATGAAGCAATTTAATGATTTTTAAGCTTATATAAATATGTGGATTGTGTGTGAGCTTCTATTATCACCAATGAGAACATTATATCTGCAGTTTAGATACACGGTGATGACCTCCTTTTGGTTTTGTACTAGTATCTTCGACGTACCTTTCGTAGAGGACGTTCTGGAGAGGTTCGTCTCTCTCGTGGACGGCGTGGAGAAGAGGTCGTTGAACAAATCGGGAGTCGAGTTTCTTGATAGAGTCCAGTTGGATGAGACGTGCGTCGGGGACAGGCTGTCGGAATTCCTCGCCTCGGAAAGGTTGGACAGGTCGCGGAGCATCCTGCGTCGACTCGGCCTGATCCTCTGCATCTCTCGTTCCCGTTTGATTTCCTTCTCTTCGAGTTCCTCGATCGGGAAGGTCCGGCCGTCTGGGGACGTCACCTCGCATACCGAGCCGCGACGCCCTGACATCTGCAATAAGCGCGAGGTTTATGAAATATAAACTTTTATATTACGTTATTTTTGGCATAAAAGATGTAACTGTACATATGACACTACTGGAGAACAATAAACCTTCTTACACTCTATATTCACAGTCATGGATGACTTTATGACAGTGGTGCCCAATTTTCCTTAGGTGACAATACCCACTCAAGTACTTTCATTGTCTTCCATGACATGTTGCGATATCTCCACTTCTTTTTGACAGAGGTGGCATATTTTTATATTGGTTTTAACTAATTTTATTTAGATGACACCACCCTGCAACCTTCCTCACAGTCATAGATGCCACGTTGCAAAGTCTCATCTTATATTTACTGAGTCGGCATGTTTCTGTTTCAGTTTTACTTTTTTTTAAGTGGCAATGTAATGATGTCCACGCTAGTTAGTTGAATGAAAGTTATTAATTGTATGTTCGTCTCAGACTTTATATATCATCCAAGTATGGGATTTTTCCTTTCTCAGCTCGTTACTTGATTTCAGCAGGTCTGGTATTTTTCTAGTAGGTCTCATTTCAATCAAAGCCAACCAATGACTGTTGGACATACCGCAGTTCTTAGAAACTCCCAGGCTTATATCAACCACGAGTGGTAAATTTATAGTTCAATTGGATCATCCTGGTCGTCAGACGCGTTAAGGTATTCCACCTTTTCCACTAGTCGGACAGTGTCCATTGGTCTGCTTCTGAGATAAAAGGACACAACGGCATAACACAGATCAACTAAAGATAGCAGAATTTCTCAACGTGATTGACAAGACCAGGCGAGTTTATGTGTTTCGCTATACCACCGTTTGGTCCTAGGTACAGCAATTATGCCAACACCTTACTTAAGGAGCACAGCAGACAGAATAATACAATGATCAAGCTGATGAAGGATGATCATAATATACTGCATTGTAGTTAAAATCACAGGCTATTTTCCGTTATCTTCAGTGGTGAACTTGATATTCAAGTATGCGATTTTTACTTCTCCGCGTTCAGTTCGGATTTCTGCAGGTAAAGTACGTCTTTTGCTAGTTTGTCACCTGTCAATTCCAATTACCAAGTACCCCATATACTAGGAACTCCCAGACTTGATTGTGAACTTTGCGAAATGATGAACTTGTAGTTAGTTTGTGTTGGATGTCGCTCTGTCAGGCGCGTTAACTTATGTGGCCATGACTAAGTTATGTTGGTGTGTACACTATGGTACAGGGTCTCATGGTTTGAGCCTATACCTTATAAAAGATCATAGCAGGCAGTATAAGTACACAGACAAACTGAAGATGGCAAAATGCTGAAACGCGTTTCAGTAGTTCATTCATTCCGCGAGTGAAGATGGGCCGAATAAGAGGGCCAATGCCGGTTCAGCATTAACATTAGTTCATCATAAGAATTGAAAGATCATGCCAAAACATTAAATTGCGAAATATTTAAGTGAAATCTGTCAGAAGATTAATAAGTAAATTGATTGGCTTTTATCATCCTGGGCCCATCCTATTCTTGCTATTTTGGTTTGCCAGGGGCGTTTAGTTTGTATCACCTCCTGTGGTCGGTCTGTGGTCCGATGGTTCGCTTCTGAGGTAGGAAGACCTTATGAAAAGACACAACTGACGGAAATATGACTAAATGCCGAAACACCGTGTTCGTTGGCAGATTTGTAATCCATCCGAGGTTTCAACATTTTTAAAAGGACACGCCTTACGGAATAGCACACAGACCAAACATCGAACATGATGAAAAGTCGAAACGCATCTCAAAATAGGCGGACCCGGACGATCCGATATAAAACGATAAATTAAGTTAGTGAAAGTTTGAACAAGCATGTAAGCGAACATTGTGATTAAGCAACTAGACGTCACCAATTACATAAACTGATTGTTTTTTATATTATTTTTCCCTTGAATACTTGGACTGGTCAATATCTTTAGATCAAACCTACAAATTTAAGAAATATTGAAATAATAAAAATAATTCAAATGCGTTCTCCATGTATCAACACATTCTTACGTGATCTAAAGATTACAATCTTATGTTTTTATAAATAACATGTGTTGACATTTATATATATATTTTTTTTTAAATTGGTTTTTGAATCTTTTTTTAAATGTCTTTGAATTACACTTTTGGCATTTAACCATTTGGACAAACAAGGATCAACGTCCTTTCAGTTGGTGTACCCTTTGCTAGTAAAATGAAAATTTCTATTTTGAAAAAAAAGGACAATTTTTTCGTGTAGCTCATTACAAAAATATATTGATCAATATAATAATTTTAACCAATGCGATCGATTACTCAAAGTAAAATATATTTGTGATCAATTAGTCTTTAACACTTACTATTTCAATATAGAAATATTAATATTAATTTACATATATTAGAAAATTTATATTTAAGTTTAAAAATTACGCTTTCCCACTGAGTTTCTTCTGCCAAATTAATATTAACCAACCGGACCTTAGGCAATTAAATTAATCTCTCTCTCTCTCTCTCTCTCTCTCTCTCTCTCTCTCTCTCTTTCTTTCTTTCTCTTTCCTCTCTCTCTTTTTTTCTTTTTACCTTTCTTTCCCACTCTTTTTCTTAATCTCTCTCCTATCTCTTTTTCTCTTTCCTTTCTCTTTCGACCTTTCACTCTCACCCTTTTTCTTAATCTCTCTCTCTCTCTCTCTCTCTCTCTCTCTCTCTTTCTCTCTTTCTCTCTCACCATACTTCTCTCTTCTTCGCGAACTTTTCTCTCTAACTGTTCCCATTTATCTGGTGTATGTTTTTATATTTTTTTCCAGGTTACATTTTCAATTTCATCTCTCTCTCCCTCTCTCTCTCTCTCTCTCTCTCTCTCTCTCTCTCTCTCTCTCTCTCTCTCTCTCTCTTTTTACCTTTCTTTCCCACTCTTTTTCTTAATCTCTCTCCTATCTCTTTTACATTTTCAATTTCATCTCTCTCTCTCTCTCTATCTATCTATCTATCTATCTATCTATCTATCTATCTCTATCTATCTATCTATCTATCTATCTATCTATCTATCTATATATCTCTATCTCTATCTTTCTCTGTGCGTGTAATTTTTTATTATTTTAATTCATGGGTACAGTTTGGCTGCAATCACCATTTCACCCTTTGACCTGCCTTGGAAGACCTTTCATCGTGTATCCCCCCCACAATTTCACTTCGTGGTGCTTTACACTTAGAAAGTCAAATTTCTGTTTAATTTGTCCAAAACTGTTTTCTTCGAGTCCGGAGTTTTATCGTTGCTGCTTATTTCTGTCTGTCTATACTAGTTGGTTTAATTCGTCAGACTTGTTCCAGCTTTGCGCCGTCCCTAGTCTTGGGTCTGTGCGTTTTTCTGTCAGTTGTGTCCTTTTATAATGTGTCGAAACCTCCGAAGCCACCACGAGGGAGACTAGTCAGACCAAAATGATCAGAAACGACCGAAGAACTAATTAATCATCTCAAGAAGAATCTCAAAAAGTTTCGGTTAGATTTTTCCACGAATGTACAAGCAGTTATATATTTTTTCCTGTCATATCTCAAATACTCAAATTGTTTTCAACATTGGTTTAAACATTGTTTACAGAGGTTTAGATTAAAGTCAGTGTCTGAGGGCATTAATCTTATCGAACCTTATCGAACTCAACACCATTTTTCAATTAAAATCGAACCACTTTTCCAGTTGGAAATCAATATATGAGAAAGCTTTTTCAAATCCTGGCCCCCATGTGGCTTTGCCATGCCGCAGTGTGAAAACTGCAATAGGGACTTTTTTTAAGTAGAGCATTGTGGTAATAAGTCTTTCGGCTGATAAAGGAATAAGTGAGTGAAAAAAATTTTATTAGGAAAAGATGTGTAAAATTTAATTTAAAGTGTGATGGCATGTGTGATGGGCTTTCCACGTGAAGGCATGGGGTCTGATCGACTTCATCATCCACTGCAGAAATGTGCATTATGAGAATTTTTTTTACAAAACTGAGAAAATCAAGCAGGATGATAAAAAAATTAAACTGACAGGATATCAACTATAGCGCTCGATAAGACGCAGTGCTACAACATTCTTTACTCATTTCCGACATAATTGATCCAAAATCATGATTGGAAACGGTACATGATTTAATCGTTTTGGGGGGGAACGCAAAATTTTTGCCAAAAAAGAATTGTTGGTTATACGGCCTGTAGTAGGTTACCAATGAGTAGCATGCTTGTATTGATGCTGTTGTCGGGACGTACCTTTTTTTAAAGGTTGCTTCTCGTTTTGTTGAGATTTTTATAAACGACGTTCAAGTCTGCATAATAGTGGGTAATCTGTGTCTGCAACTAGTCCCTTCAGGCGTATCCTCGGTTGATTTCCCAGTAGGCGGCCCTTCCGGCGAGGCGTCGTGGATTGGCGAGTTCGGGGTGTCGGGTTCCAGCGGGGTTAGGGATGTGAGCGAGTTTAGGCCCGGATCTACAGGTGTCCTAGAGGGGTTTTTGTTCAATCGGGGGCGGCGAGGTGGTGGCAGGGGAAAATCGATATGGTCCGCCCTCCCTCCGCGGCAGCGGTCAAAGTGGGGAAAAACCTCTTCCGGGACGGTTTGACGGCTTTTCCACCGGATGGGGACTTTTTCTATCAAAACCGAGACGACGGACGGTGAGGTCCGTGCATATCCGATGACTATCCTAGCCGTAAACACCGAGATTTTGGGCCTGATTAGGGCGCGAGCCTGCGCTCTTCACCGCCACCCGGGGCGACTGAATCAAAACGGCTTTTCATTGACAGGGAGGCGGCTTTCCGCTTTACTCCCAAAGTGGGGTGGCGCAGCCGCAGCCCTTCTACAGGATCAAATTTGAATTTAATCATTTGGACGGATCTAGGGAAAATATCACATTCTTGTCACCCTCAATCCAAAACTGAACGTTCCAGCATAAGACATTCAGTTTCAAAATAGCCCGCGCTGTTTTTTTTCTTGTAGTTAACTTTATTGAGCATTTGACATATAGAGCTTAGCAAATAATGAAAAATATATACAGTAACGTTACCTTAGGTTTACCTTCGTCCTCCAAAATTTGGATTTTTCTTTAAACAGCGAGGTAAGCATGATCTCTCTTTTCACCCACACTTTCGGCTGGACAAAATCAGTAAAGATGTTATTCGGGTGCTACTTATGCGTTGGTGCAACTTTGCACATGCCACTTAGGCGATGTATGGTATATTTAGGGATAGTTGCAAGAGCCTTATCCTACATAGACCTTCACAGAAACATAGAATGTGTTCTGCGGTTCTCCTCTTTTTCCTCGCAGTATCTGCACAGTATTTCTTCTGCCTGAACTATCCGGTGCATGTGCCTTCTTAAGTGGCAGTGCCCTGTTAGGAGTTCAACCAGAATTCTGGTTCGGTTGATGTTGCCTTCCAGTAACTCTTTTGTAAGTTTTCCGGATGGTCGTTCTAAGAATCACTTCGCGTCCCTCATACCTGTGGTATTGTCCCACCCAAATTGGACGGAGAAGTAATAGGTAGTGAAAGTGAAGCACTTATGTCAAGAAAGGCTTTAGAAAATAGAATCGCCCAACATGAAAAAGGAATACAACATACACTATTCATCCAATAATCAAAATATATTGTAAAATTTTAAAAATGGTAAAAGCCTAACTTGATGTGTTACTCAAAATCTCATCACAAGGTACGGAGAAATTTCCCAAATTGATCCCACAATCTTCACCAATCACGCAAATCACTTTTCTTGCTCCATAGACTTGCCAGCGGCTCCTTACTGTCGGATCTTGCTTGCGAGTTTTCCTTCCCTAGCAAGAATCCACATCTGCATAGACCCTCACAGAAACATAAAACGTGTTCTGAGTCCTCCTCTTCTTCCTGGTATCTGTATTTCTTCTGTCAGGTCTATCCGTGGTATGTCCTTCTTAGGTGGCAGTGCTCTGACAGGAGTCCAACCGGAATCGTGGTTCTGTTGAGGTTGCCTTCGACTAATTCCTTTGTAAGTTTTGCGGATGGCCCTTCTATGAATCTCTTCGAGTTTGGACTCATTAAGGCAAGATGCTAAGCCACAAAAGTGTTCAGGACCTAGAGAGTCCATGTTGGCTCCCTCTTTGGTCAACATGTCAACCTTATCGTTGGCTCTATACCCCGAATGCCCAGGGGACCGTTAGTGTTGCTGACCTCCGCCAGAGACTCGATGCAGTTCGCATGAGGTTAGGCCCTTTAGTGCTGCGTGACTGTCAGAGAAGATGGCTACTTCCGGGAATGTTTTCCTAGCCTTTTTATTTCCCTGGCGCAGTGTTCAATCGCTAGATTTCAGGCTGGAAAGCTGTAGCATATTTACCTAGATTTACCGTCAGCTCGGTCTTTGGATTCATCCCCCTGTCTTATTTAGATCAAGGTGAAGTATAGAGTTCGGAATTACCAAGACGCAGAACTCGATTTTGGTGAACTTGGACTCTTTTTAAATGAGAGTCACTTGCAGACCCCAGGAAAGGTATTTTACATATTGTAAAATGGGACATAGACGTAGTAGGTATAGCAACCTTTTGAATAGTGAAAGTGAAGCACTCTTGTCAAGAACGGAATTGAAATGGAAGAAAACGGAATCACCCCTTATTACCTTTTATCCAGTGTGACGCCTAAATATTTGACGGAATCAGCTTCAGGTATCCCAGCTGCTTCCATGACTGCAGGTGTAGTTTCAAATTTACGAGATAGGTGAATGCACCTAGAATGTACTTTTGGGGATTTCATACGCCATTTTTGATTCCAGCCAATAATTTTGCTAACACCATTTTGCTATTGCTTAGAAACTAGTAGACCAACTTTACCTCTACTAAGTAAAGCAAGATCATCTGCAAACATAACTATCTTTATCAAGTTAGATCTGGGTATATCATGGACCTAGCGCAAGTAAAGAACCCAGACTATTCCCTGCGGAACCCCAGGTCGAATAGATCTTGCTACCGAAGTGACTCTATAATAAGTGATTCTATAGTTCTATTGATCAGATATAATTTAACAAGACGGTAGTAGTATAGCAGCTCTTCCTTAATTGTGGATAGAAGTCAAGAATGCCAGGCCCTACCAAAGGCCTACTGTGTCAACAAATAGAGCTTGATTTCCTTTTTTTCATACCTTTTTAAAGTTGTGCCAATTACTCTATGGAGCTGTTGTTGGCATGAGTGCTGCGTGATGATGTAATAATTGCATACAATATTATTATTTTCATAGAAATCCTCACATAAAAAGGATTAAAAAGCAATGAGATAACAAAATTCTTAAAAAAATCACGTATATTGACCGTATTTCTTATCACCAATGTTCATTCCTTGGAAGAAAATTAAGCACAAAATATAAATTGACTTTAAAATTGAGATTATTAAGAAAATAGACCAATTGTTTGTTAAAAATAAAAAAGTAGTCCTATTGAGGTGGGTAAGGGGTCTCACTCCACTGGTGCCGTATAATGAGGCAATAGGACAAAGTCCGCTCACTTAATCGACTTGGTCAATAAAAAAAATCATGTAAGTTAAAAAAAATATTAATCTAATATTAATTTGACGATTTTTCTTATTACCAAGAAAAAAAGAAAATTAAAGGATAAGAGCCAAAACTTGGAAGAACTGATCTTGAATTCAGTTCTGATCGCTCTTTTTGCACTTGTAAGAACAGTTTTTTTTTTAATCCTAATAATACATTAATCGTTATTTCATCCATAAGATTAATAAAGCTTGATTTCTTCGAAATCGGATTAAGACGAGGATCAGCCGGTTGATGCTTTCCAGCGGTGATCCTGCGAACCACCCTCATCCAGGCTTACGCGATTCCTGACAGATGGCAGGCGATGCTGTAAATCCTTGGTCCTCCGGTAAAAACACCATTTCAACCAAAGTTAATGGTCTATCATCAAACTAACATATTTCAATATACAATACGAAAATTTTTAAATATAAGTATTCATCTTTTGGTAAGTTTCTGAAGCAATGATGAGGTCAAGACGTTTTTCGTTTCAAAACGTGAACATATCAGAAATCTACTTTTAAATAGAAATGTTGAGGTGGACCTTCAAGACGTTTGAGAAAAAAACCAGTATCACTATTAAATACTGCTTAACGTTGAGAATCAAAAAAGAAGCACAGTAATGTAAAATATTTTACCATTGCTGATGTAGGTAGTTTACGATAAGCGAAATGGCCTAAAGGATTTTAAATCCGTTTAGAAGAAAAAATGGACACATTTTTATGCAAAAGAAGACACCTTGGTGCTACAAGAAAACTAAATCACTTCAGAAGCTAAATCAAGAAGAACCATCAATAATGATTACTGTAGATGGAAGGGTGTCCTATAAATCGCATTCTCACTCGACATGCAGAGGGCCGACGACTAGTGTCTATTAGTCTTTTAATAATAGTAAAATAGTTAACTAAAATAAAAAAATTATACCATTAGCAATATTCAAAGCAGATGGTAAGTAATGTTACAGATCAACATCGAAATCAACAAAAATTTCGATTTTGCATCTTTTCCGCTACACCTAACAGAACTGTTAATTAAATTAATTTACGCGTAACTATGAACAGTTATGAAACAATATAAGGCGGTTGTCCAATAAACATTATATCATCATTAATGATCAATATTGATAATATTGCTTTAAATTAAAGATAATTCATTAAATATTTAGATTTTTCAGAAAATTTAACACAGCTTTTTTGCTAAACGATCAGCATTCATTAGTTCTTATCAGTTCTTTGTTATCATAGACAATGATTTTTATGACATGACTTGTCCATCTGTAAATACAATTAATTAGAGTTCAATGATAAACAGATGTTGTCAATGGAGAAAAAGAAAAGCGTGATTCTAAAACATAAAACATTATATCTTCAGTAATGATCAGTAGAGATGAAAGTAGTACCATGATAATTAAGTAGTAATCCCGTCTATAAAGGCTTGAAAGAAAACCATTTAGGATTTTTTTTTAAATTCATTAATCGCATTTTAAATATGCTACAAGCAAAAATGTTCAAATTATTAGTATATTGTGTGAACATGTATACACGGACGCACAAAAGGGCGTATAAGGTATGAACGGCGTCCATCCAGTGATGGAAAAACGTAGTTCACGTACAGGGTGGAGATCATTATCAATCCTGTTATGCTGAACCGGCACAGGGTTACTTACTGGGTCTGCCTCTTTTTGAGTTATTCAAACGCGGTTTCGCATTGCGCAAGGAAATGTTCCTCACTGAAGATGGCGCAATGCCGAATCGCGTTTGAATAACTTGTTATACCCAAAATTATTTCGGGCCGGAGAAGAATTATCCCGACAGCTTGTCGGAGTGGTGGGTAGGAATGAAAGGAAAATTTACAAATCAAAAAAAAAAATTAATGGCCAAAAAATATCTCTGCGTTGGGCGCCACCCCATTTTATCCCTCCAGAGTTTTCCAGGAGAGGAGTAATGGAGAACTCCTTCAACTAAAAGTATATTCTTGTTTATCAATTAATTAAGGTTTTTAGTTGGGATAAAAAAAGTCAGTGTCGCGAGCGGGATTCGAACCCACGATCTTCGGCTAGATACGCCGCTACTCTACCACTTGAGCTAGCGTGACCTCGCTCCACTCGGACACTAACTTCCCATCTCAACCCCACCTTTTGAATTTTCCCTTTTGCTATTTTTAGTTCTATAGGAAATCACTAAGTACCCAAATTTAAATGACTTATAAGAAAAGAAAAACAATATCAGAAAAGTATCAAAAGGTTTATTGTTTGAGTTTTATCTAATTTAAAAGATGCATTTAATAAAGCAACAAATCAGTCTGGGATTAGAAGATGTAGGAGGCAAATCAAAGATAGAAACGATTTCGAAGCATGGTATACTTTTTCCAGATAGCGTGCGATGTTTAATATGTGGACCGTCAAATTGCGGGAAAACAAATTTAATAATCAATTTATTATACCATCCTAACGGTATACAATTTCAGAAGGTTTACATATTTGGTAAATCGTTGTACCAACCAAAATACATACAAATGAAAGAGGTTTTTTCATATTTAAGTGAAATCCGTCTTCATCTGTTCGAAGATAACCAGGTGGTTCCATTTCCTCAATTCCAAATTCCGTTTTAATTTTCGACGATAAAGCGTGTGACAAACAAGACCGCGTTGGGGGCGTCGGTGGCCGCAACGGTTTTGGCGTTGACACGGCGCTCATCACTGTAAGATAAAGGTCCCGGGTTCGAATCCAGCGGCCCTGCATTCAAACCCGACATACTTAAAAATGGGCTTTTTTTCAAAAACACCGGCACCCTGAGGGTTTATGTGACCTCTGCTGTTGCAAACCTAACAAAAAAAACCAAGACCGCGCCAGATCGTAGTTCTGTAGGAGTCGCCATAACGGCATACATTCATTTTACCTATGTCAAAGTTATACGACAGCCCCGAAACATTTGATAAAGGATAATGTCGTTTCTTATAATTTTCAAACAATATTTAGGGAATATGAGACGCATATGCGAAGACTATGTAAATTCGGTCATGTCATTACTTTATGCCATGGTGGACATACGGGTAGGGGCACTCCAGGCAAGCTCGGGCCAGGATGAAGACAGACTCATACGGTGGTTCCAGGTCAGAAACCTTACCTTGTCTTTGTCACATTCGTGTTTCCTCTGTTTAAATGATTATCCATATTTACAAGTAATAGTACAAGTAGGATAAAAAATAATTAAGCCAAACCAGAAAAAAAAGTAGATTAATGGGGAGGGAAGATAAAAATGAGAAAAGAGAGAACAATAATGGGGGAGGGATTTATTAAAATTAAACAGAGTAAAATTAAAATAGGTACTTCGTTTCCTTAAACAGCTATTGCAATAAACCATAAACCAGACCTGGGCTAACTTTAAAAATTACCAAAAACCCAAAACAATAATCTAAATTAACAATAATATAATCGTTAAAATTAAAACAAACAAAAGTTCCTTCTGCAGTCTTTTCCGTAAACCGACAGTTTTACTTTAGAATCGTTGTTCCAGCAACAGCCATCCATCGAGTCCTTAAAATTAATCCATGTGTTAACCACGTTATCTCCTTAGAAGAATAGGAAGCTGATCAAAGCAGGAAAATAAAAATTTAATTTTTGGAAAAAACATTTTACTCTCTTATAATAATTACATTAAAAAAACTCAATTTTTTGTCACAAACTGAAAAAACTCGCGAGTGGAGACAGACCCAGGAAGTGACCCTGTGCCGGTTCAACATGAGTTCACCGACTCCTTTGCCAATGTCAGGTAATTAATTTGTCGCGTGGCCAGTCTCCGACCGCCATGTTGCGGACGACAATTCGTGGATTAAGGAGTCTGAGTGATGGCATTTACGAAATGTGACGTGTAGAATTTTAAGTCCGTCCATAGACGTATGAAGCAAAACATCAAAGAAGTAATTATAAAAGCTAGAAGTTTTAGGTACAAAAGAAAAAGCCACACTGCTACAAGCAAAACGTTACCTCATCAGTACAGAAGATAGTGCCATGGCATTTACGAAATGTGACGTGTAGAATTTTAAGTCCGTCCGTAGACGTATGAAGGAAAAAAGCAAATAAATAATTAATGTAAGAAAGAAATTGTAGGTATGAAATAAAAAGCTATAAAATATTGCATCATCTGGTCAGAAGCAGGAAGTGCTAGGTATTTACGAAGGATGACTTGTAGGTTAGGAAACCCATCTAATACCTTTGAAGGAAACCAATTAACGAGAAATTAATTAAGCAAGGAGAAGATGAATTCATTAGTCCTACAACTAATACGTTACGTCATCAGTAATGACCATACAGATGCGGGTATTATGCCGGCATATAGGTTTTTATAAAAAATCACTGGCACGAATGTAAATCATTCCTTAGACTTTTAAAGAAAAGCAGTTATGAAACAATTAATGGCAGTAAAGACGGTGTAAAAATAAAATTAGAAGCCATAGTCCTAAAGCTAATACAGATCAGTTTCTTAACTACGTACTGACAGCTTTCTTTCTTCCTTTTTTTTTACTTTTCTTCTTCTTCGACTACTTAGGTGATCATATTATCAAATATTATAATTATATGCTTTATCATTGTACCTTATCAATACGGTTTTACGCCATCATCAGGAAACATAAAAACCACATGAAGACCATCATAATTAATGTAGAATAGTACTTTTAATATATTGTTTCGACAGTTATGGACAATAATTTTTTATTTTTGAGTTCTAAATCTCACAAGGAAGTTTTTGAGTCAGATTTACGTTAATTTTTTATGATCCTTTGGCCTAAATATGATGACATTTTTAGCAATTTTTTTTCTTTTTTTTGGTTTATGGCTTAGCAGGATAATAAACAATATTTCTCTTTTCTTCGTCCTGTAACTTATTGGAACATGGATTTACATAGTGCGTAGCCTGTCTATTTAGAAAATTAACAATCTGAATTTACAATATTTCAGGATGTGCAATGGAAATTATGGGAAAGAATGTGTTCGTCAAGGTTTTAATTAGAAAATATGATGAACCTTTTTTGGAACCTTGGATTAATTTGATCCTTGATGGGCTTCCTTTAATTGAAGGCTTAAGGTTCAATTTTATACACGGCTTGTAAAATAAAAGTGATCTTTTTTAAATATAAACAAAGTATTCTTGGCAGGGACAACCTGTCGTGTTCTATACCCTTGAATCGTTCCATTCCCCCCTCAAAGCCCCGCGGAAACACGGCATTTCAGTGTCCATTCATGAAAATCATCCATGCGGATCCCCATTCCGACTTCCTTTCCCCACTCGGCGAGACGGACCCGGAACTCCGACTCCAGTATGAGAGGTGATTGGAAGAAAATCCGAGTGAGAAGTAGGCCCGATGAGCTGAACAGGCGAACCGATCTGAAAACATGTGAGTATAACGGAGATAACCGGACGGATCGACGCGGTAACGTAACACACTGGTCAGTGATGACGGGACGTCAGCGGGGTTGATGAACTATCACGGGGAATCCGACGTCGTATCATATTGATCGTGACGGATAATGGCAAACGGCCAGATAAGCGGAGTAAGAAAAGTCAAATCTCTCGATATTTTGTCAACTGTCTTGGCGAAATCAGAAAAATTATCTTGTTTATGTAGTTTAGTCGTTTCCCATCATCCTGGTCCGGCTAAACTCGCTGCTTTTGCCTACTGTGCTCTTTTGATTGGAAAATATCGATAACCAGCGAGACTACGCGGACCAGGCTGATAGGAAATAACCAAATCACTGGTTAATCCCCCCGCAGACCCCAAGAGGAAATCTTGTTTATGTAAGTTTTGCTTGATTTATTTACACATTGTATAACGTATTATTAATAAAACAATCGTGTAAAGATCAGTTCAACGCAATAAGTCTGAAAAAAAAATTAGAATAAAAAGTTCGTTTAACTAAAGTTTAACTTAAAAAATAAAATAAAAATTAATAAATATGACCAATTGCAAATAATGGTCCGCGTATTCTCGCTAGTTTATCTTTTCTGTTTACGTTTTATTTTCTTTTGTTGTAACTCTGGAGTTTTATTTTGTTTTTGCTATCTTCAGTTCTTCCTTTTGATGCCATGATGAATTTTGCTATAGAATAAGAAAAAAATTGAGTAAGTAATTTATTGAATTTGATTGTTTTATGCTTTCTTTCTTCGTTTACTATGTCTACTGAGGTTATAATTATTTCGTACGTATACGCTCCAGTATAGACATATTTCGAGTATGTATAGTTTTCTTTCTGTTTGGACGTTTATCTTATTGGAATATTGCAATTTTGTTCTCGTTTTATGACTAGTTGAATATCTCACCCTGTCCTAAATTATTGGTTCTTATTTGTGTCATTTATTTATTTTCAGTCTGTTAAATGTATTTATTTGTACAATGGCTTTTTTTATTGGTTTTGGTGTTTTGAACAAGGTTCTGTCTATTCATGTGTACATGTGGTTAGAGGTTTTATTTTTTATTGTTTCTGTTGAAATGTGTGCTTTTTTTATTGGTTTTGATTGTTTTTATTTATGTTTGTATTTTTTCTTTCTGCTCTCTTTTTGGATTTTTCATTTTTCTTTTGTTTTGCCATGGTGTAAATGGTATTTGTATATTATTCATTAAATGTGCTAGATATTTTCTAAGTTTCTTTACTATGTATGTGTTCGTGTCTTTTTAAAGGTTTCCTTTTTATTGTCATTTTTGTTGTTTTGTTGTAGTAGGCTTCTACACTATTGTATTGTTGTTTTTATGTGTAAGTTTTTGTTTTATTGTATCTTTTTGGTTTTTTCCCGCTGGATTCGAACCCGGGACCTTTATCTTACAGTGATGAACGCCATGTCAACGTCTAGATCGTTGAGACCACCGACGCTATTCTGTTTTTCTGTTTTTACCAGGAAAAAATTTACCATGTTGTAAAAGATAATTGTATTCACATTTATTACATAAATTAGTCGTTTCTTTTATGTTTCTATGAATGTACGTAGTATTGTATTGAAGTTTCGTTTGTTTTTGTTCTTTTTGATGTATGTGCTTTTTTTTATTCAATTCGTCTATTTCGTGTTTATTTCTTGTCATGAAATATTTGACCATGTTAAAGATGATAATTGTATATTTGACGCATATTCCATGTAAAAAGGATTAGTTGTTTCGCAAGTTTTTTTCTAACTATGTATTTATACTCGTTTGAGGCTTCCTTTTTGTCGGTTTTTATGTATGTGTACATCAAACTACATATTAACTAATTTATTACCTACTGTGGATCATTTATTTCGCCAGTTTCATTTCTTATGTTTTTATGTATGTAAATATATATTTATTATAGTGGCGTTTCGTTTGTTTATATTATGTTTGGAGTTTTTTGTTTGTTTTATTCGATTCGTATGGTCTTATCTGTGAGTTTTCCTGTTTTTGGTCTCTTTAGGAATTTTTATTTTTGCTTTTCTTTTGTTGCCATGAAATATTTTACTGTGTTGTTGGTGACGATTGTGTATTTTATATCTAATCCATGTAATAAAGATTAGTTATTTCTTAAGTTCCTATTCCTATCTGTGTGTTTATACTGGTTTGATGTTTCCGTTTTGTTGTTTTTCATGTATATGCTTTGTTTCGTGCTTGTGTTTACGTTGTTATATGTTTCCTTTGTTCTTTATGTGTGTTCTGTGTTAGTAATGATTTTAATGTCATGTATTTCGAGACACGTATGGTTTGAATTTGTACGTATTACCAGTTGTTCAATTTTCAGTGTATGCTGCTTTTAATTTTATTCGTTTTGGCCAAGCTTAAGTCAATTACATACTGTATTGACGTTTCCTTGTTTTTTGCTTTTTGGTATTTTTGTTTTTTTAAATTAGTTTCGTGTTTGTGCTTATGTGTATGTGTTTCTGCTCTCTTGTTAGATTTTTCGTTTTTCTTTTGTGTTATAAAATATTTTACAATGTTGTACGTGTATGTATGAGTGCGTGTTCGGTTTTCCTTTTTATCTATTTTATTGTAGTTTATTTATTTCTGTGTGTCTCGCTTGGTTTATTAGTTTCATTATTATGTTTAAGTTCTATGCCTTTTTCTGACTTATTTATTGTTGTTGTTTCTTCTTGTACTGTTTTTTTTAATGATATACCTGTATACGGGTACTTCTGAGCTATAATTTAATGTCGTGTGGTTTGCATCTGTTATATGCTGAATTGACCGTTAAAGCTATTACGACGAATCTGAATGCCCAAACGCGCCTGAAAATTAAAACAAGCGAGAACAAGCGGGCCAGGAGAAACCACAGTCAATTCAAGTCTACTTACAATACACTCGCATCGCTGTTGTTTAATTAATAAAACCGAGACAAAAAATAAAACTAATTTTCTGAGAATTTGTTTAAAGGTTTAAATAATGATGAAGTCATTTTTTAAACTTATTTTTGCCCAAAGCGTTCTGCTTTCTTTGTTATTAGTTTGATAATTGAGAAACGTACCCGGCATTAGATGGAGGTAGGATGTTGCACCAACGCATTACTATAAAAGTAAGGCTTTCGACGTGCTTGGTTTGTAAAATAAAAAAGTTTATTGTCATACATTCATACTTATGAAACCAAGACTCGCAGACAATGGGGTCTCTTGAAATGAAACTTTTTTCTGTTTGTCTTATCGCTCCCTCACCGATTATTTCCAGACAAGTGAACTGTCTGAAAGAGAAAAAATTGGTATTCGATTCACAATTCAAGGCCGTTTTGGTTGTGTTCCTATTCTTTCCTTGTGAAGAAAATCTGAAACTGCTTTAACCCAATTCTCAGAACATTCAGTTTTTTTCCCATTTTATGAACTGTGCGACAACGCTGTGAACAAAATGCACCTAAAGACTCGGAAAATGCAGCTTTCCTGATCGTCCTGTTCATAAAAGCACAACTGAACTTGACTTAACATTGACCAAAACAAATAAAATCCCAACTAAATTGTGAATGACTGAACAATTATAAAATCCATAAAAATAAAAATTCACTTTATGCAGAAAACTAAAAACATAACTAAACTATGTTTTGAATAAAAGGTTTTAAAACTTAAAAATTGTAAAATTGTAAGTCTCCAGCGTCCCTTGGTCCGTCTGTTTTCGCTTGTTTAGCCTGTCGGACATATAAGTCGATTGCATATTCTAATAGTCCGCCACTCTTACTTCGTATAACAAAAACATAACGTAAACTGAAATAGAACGCAGCATTGCGTGTATTTACTAGCGTGAATGGCAGGGCTTATCTCCAATTACAGCAGTGACGTGACAGTGTCGTCACAGGCATTTTGTTCCAACGGCGGGTTTGAAAATAATCCTATATAATATTCCTCTTTTAAAATAATAATATAAATATAAATAATAAAATAATAAATATTAATGTAAATATTCCTCTTTTTGGAAACTGAACAGTTTTGTTCACACTAACACGGCGCGCGACCGTTGCCGTGCCAGCATGCTTCCGTCGTCACCGGACCGTGATCGTCGGATTTCTTGTTGGCGATATTTTACAGTTTTCACGACCGTACAGCATGAATGATAAAAAACTCATCGAGTTGGTGCGAAATTCTGTGGTGTTTGATCAGCCAAAAATCCACTGAAAGGCACGAACTGTGTGACTAGAGAGCCCTGTATGATCACAGTGGCCGGGAATAAGGGCCGTCAGGACACTGGTGTGTGTGAATCGACTTTTAGGCGTTGACACGATGCTCATCACTGTAAGGTCTAAGTCCCGACATACTTAATTTTTTTTTAAAGCGCACCCCGGATTGATATGACCTCTGCTGCTGCGAACCCCCGTTAATAAAAGTATATATCGATTACTCTGGGGTAGTGTAAATGTAATTTACTACATGAATGGAGGGGCTTATCCTTAATAACAAAGAATATCGAGTACAATGGGGTTGTGTGAACGAAGTCTGGTGTGTGAATATAATTTATTGGCGCGAATTTGGGGCCTATCCCCAATTAACCTGAGGTACTTCGAGTACTCTGGGGTAGGGTGAATACCAGACTATTATGTTTTATTTATTATACTGGTAGACATAAACTTTAAAATAGGAAAAGATACTAACGGATCACTAATCCTTATTACTTTTTTTAGAAATCAAATAGACAAATATCATTTAAACCATTGAAGAATATTTCATGATCAAAAGATTAACGAAAACCCAAACGACAGACCAGAAATAGAGAACCAACACATAAAACACCAATCTCATCACACATATTCTTGCACAGACCATACAGATATTTGTCGATCATGTAACATGCATAGGAACTAAAAAGGCGACTTACCGAAATAGCATCACTAATCTGGTGGAACAAAGCTCAACAAAAAGTAGCTACCCAAACAATAGGCAGCATACAAAGACTAGCAAACCTATGTATCACAGGGGCAATGAGAACAACCCCTACAAACTCATTAGAAACCTACCTTCACTGGAAATATTCATATAAGGAGAGGCTAGGAAAAGCACACTTAGGCTCCAGAAACAATTAAATTGGAAAGGAACTAAACAATTCGGGCATACAACCATAATCAAAAAATCAGACACCTATTATTAGAAATGGGGACTGATTACATGATCCCGGAAACAATCTTCACAACTTCCTATAAAGTCTCAACGGACTATAAAGGAGAGGAAGAACACAGGAGAGCATAAGATCAAAACAAACGAAGGAACCAGATCAGGCGTTTTCTGTACAAGCCCAAAACATGTGCAATCGACCTCATTAGGGAAGTACATTTCGGTCATTCAAGCAGAAATACATGCCATCAATGCTTGTGCCCTGGAAAAGCTTAAAAGAGGTTACACTGACAAAAAAAATCCACATAAGATCAGATTAGCATGTAAAAGAATCAGATCAAAATTAGTCAGTGAATGCATCCAAAATCTCCAAAACCTTGGGAAAGACAACAACCTGATGATATCTTGGGTGCCAGGGCACAGGGGAATTTTGGGTAACGAGAAAGCAGTCTGGCCAGAGGAGGATCTGCAATACCTACAATACATAGGCCCCGAACCTATTCTTGGGATAACAAAAACAAATATAGAATCCTCCATCGCAGAATGGATCCAAACAAAACAAAAGGAGAAGTGGATAAACTCTAGCGGTGCTAGACATAGTAAACTTAAGATGAAACAACCCTCACCACGACTGCTGCAATTGGAGAGGGCCAAACTCAGTGGTTGGACTACTAACCGGTCACTGGCATCTGAGAAAACATCTACACAACATGGCTACCCATGATCCCATTTGAGATTATGTAATGAGGAAGAGGAAACAGCTACTCATATCATTTTCATTCGAAGCAACAGTTCAATGGAGATTTAACCTAACGTACGGAAAAAACTTAAGGAATCAAATTGCAGCAGCGTCAGTCAAAGACTTGATACTTCTAAGGAGAAGGATTGAGTCTATTGCACTGAACTAAGGAACTAGGAAGGTACAATAAGCTAGAAGGCTGCAGTGCCTGGGGAGTGCAAATCCCGCTTCCTAGTATCCTTTTTCACCATACCATACCTAAATATCATAAATCTTAAAATTTATTTTCTCAGATCAAAGAATTTGACGACCTGCTCGATGTTTTCGTTGAATAGAACACAAATACTTTCTAATCTCATAAGTTTTTCCTATAGTTAAAAAAATCTTAATAAGTTCGTGCAGCCGGCCACTTCATGCTACATGCGGAATATTCATTATTTACATTTAATTCATACGTAGTATGTTAATTATTTATAACAGTAATGAAGCATAAAATTAAAATAAAATCTATTTAATTAATAATTGATAGGCAAAAATGACTGTTGACTTAAATGTTGGATTTATCGTAGTACGATAAAAGGATCTTCCAAGGTTTGTTTGGTTTTCCAATTGTGAAAAAATAAATGGTATTAATAATAGAATTTTCCAGAAGATAAACTTTTGCTAAAAAATAATTTCAGGATTTTTGGACTGGCGGATGGACGAGCAATCCGAGTCTGAAGAATCCTCACTCGACGCGGAAGAATGGGAAAGAAGAATAAAAGGACGATTAAAGGTGAGCTCTAGGACATCTTGATTTGTGTATTTTCACAAAGAAAACGTGGCTTATTTTTTTCTTTTCATAAGTTAAAAATAGATTAAACTAATTGAATTCATATAGGCTTTTCAATATAAAAATAGAACTATTACAAATAAGAGAAATGGTGTGAAATAAATGTTATTTTAAGAGATTGAGGTCAATATGTTTTGCAAATTTCAGAAAACTTTCTTTCACAACGTCTTTCAAAAAGTCCTTTTCAATAATCCATATTCAAGTGCTCAACACCATTCTTATGTGTAGAGCTCCACATACAAACCATGGGGTATGCCCTGCACTGCCAAGGTATCACAAGAGCTGCTAGGTGACTGTATCAAAGGAATTGATTGAGGGCACACCTTGTCAGTGAAATCAGGGAATGATTTTATTTTACTTTTTAGTTTTCCTTGTTTGCTGCCAAATCTGACACAAATGAATGGTCTAATCGATTTTGTCACACAACTACTCGAAATTTGGTTAAAGGATAATTCAAAATTGACTAGTTTTCGTGGTCCGCTTGATCAATTAATGTCTTTCAATTAATTAAGGTTTTTAGTTGAGATAAATCAAATAGACATTTGAAAAATGGCAAAAAAGAGGGAAAATTCAAAAGGTGGGGTTGAGATGGGAAGTCCGAGTGGATCGAAGGCACGACGCTCAAGTGGTAGAGTAACGGCGTATCTAGCCGAAGGTCGTGGGTTCGAATCCCGCTCGTGACACTGACTTTTTTTTATCTCAACTAAAAACCTTAATTATTTGAAAGACATTATTAGGTCAAGCGGACCACGAAAACTAGTGAATTTAATAAGTTAAAATGAAGTATATCTTCACTAAAGCTCTCCGTGGCCATTTCATTTGTCGCCCAGAATCAAATAGATTACACGACATTTGAAAAATAGCAAAAAAGAGGGAAAATTCAAAAGGTGGGGTTGAGATGGGAAGTTAGTGTCCGAGTGGTCGAAGTCACGATAGCTCAAGTGGTAGAGTAGCGGCGTATCTAGCGGAAGTTCGTAGGTTCGAATCCCGCTCGTGACACTGACTTTTTTATATTTCAAAATGTTCATTCATTAATGCTTTCTTTTCAGCTTCTTCAGTTCCTTCCAACCCTTGGTCTTTCACCCAACAAATATTCACCAGTATTACGTGTTTTGCCAATATAACAATTTTGTTTCTTGCTTCTTTTTTGCTGGGATTTTTCATTGAGTCTAAACCATCATCAGACATTTTGTTCCAATTCCTCTCTTCGTTCTCAAAATAGTTTTGGTGTTCTTTGACCCAATGGTGTGCTCCGATTGAGAACTGCTCTGCCTGATTATTCGAGCAAATATATTGATTACTACAAATTAAAAGTCGAAACTGTATCATTTTCTTGTAGTCCCTTCATTGTTTTCAAGCTCACAGTGATTTATTTCTACATCTTTACATCCTCTAGATATCACAAAAAAAATTCAGTGTTATTCATATCGATATGATGGTGGGCTATTCGGCAAGCCTTGAAATGGTTCGATGCCATTTTAACACTCGTACAGCTACAAATCGTTAGACCTGTTCATATTTTTCTGGATTCTTTTATATTTTATCGCTTCCGTCCATGCTGTTTGGTCCAGAAGATGCAGAATAGCCCCGACATATATGGCACGAAGAGCCTCAGGATCAAATACCCATACACTCCGATCACTATGGCATTGACCGATTTTAAAGTTTTTTAATTGCTTCCACTTGGGACTTCTACGTCATTTTAGAATAGAAAAGTTCATTTGCCTCCTGTAGTTTACTCGTTTCCAATAATGTAGATAGGGATAAAAGAGGCGGCATCAAGGCCTTCCGTAGCTCAACCTGAGTAGGTCTATTGTGTTCCTTTGGTTAACTCACAGGCCAGCTTCAGGTTATTGATGAACCTCCAAAGCCTTGCCAGCGGCTCCTTAGTGTAAAATTTTGCTTGCAGGTTTTCCTCTCCTTCCTATATTTTTGCATAGACCTTAACAAAAACATAAAATCTCTTGTGCGGTCTTCTCCTCTTCCTGGCAGTATCTGCACAGTGTTTCTTCTGTCTGTACTCCTTTCCGGTGCATGTACCTTCTTAGTTGGCAGTGCCCTGTCAGGATTCCAACAAAAACTTTCTTTTAATATGAACGTGCAAAACCTTTCATTTCGTTTTATTCAATAAAATATTGTTTCTGACTGTAAAGCTCTGTATGCTTAGATTTGAAATTCAACAATGTTGATTGCGCTCACCGTGAGGAAGTAATCATCCGCAAATGCCAAAAGCCTTGCAATTAGCTGGAAGTTTAAGTATCAGGAACGAATCGTATAAATTGATTAAGAACACGATCCGCTAGTACAACTCTATGGGCAAACTTTTTGACGCAAATCGTGTAATCTGTACTTCCACAGTGCATAGTAGCCTGTCTTTTGCTGAAGTATGCTCTTGCCAAGACAGTTAGTTCTCTTAAGTATTGAATTTTAGCAGGCTATTAAGCAGCATTAAATGCTCCTACCAAGCCCAACTATATAAGTTGTACCTGTGCTACTTGAATCCTGGAAACCGCACTAGAACCAGGGGTTCCGCAGGGGGTCTTTTCTTTACATGCGCTATGCCCATAATATCCCCAGATCTAACTTGACAACGATAGCTATGGTTGCAATGATCTTTCTTTACTTAGTAGAGGTAAAGTTGGTCTGCTAGTTTCTAAGCAATAGCAAAATCGTGTTAGTAAAATTATTGGCTGGAATCAAAAATGGCGTATGAAATCCCCAAAAGTACATTCTAGGTGCATTCACCTATCTCTGAAAATTTGAAACTACACCTGCAGTCATGGAAGCAGCTGGGATACCTGAAGCTGATTCCGTCAAATATTTAGGCGTCACACTGGATAAAAGGTAATAAGGGGTGATTCCGTTTTCTTCCATTTCAATTCCGTTCTTGACAAGAGTGCTTCACTTTCACTATTCAAAAGGTTGCTATACCTAGTACGTCTATGTCCCATTTTACAATATGTATCACCTTTCCTGGGGTCTGCAAGTGACTCTTATTGGAAAAGAGTTCAAGTTCACCAAAATCGAGTTCTGCGTCTTGGTAATTCCCAATACTTCACCTTGATCTAAATAACAGGGGGATGAATCCAAAGACCGAGCTGGCGGAAAATCTAGGTAAATATGCTACAGTTTTCCTGCTTGTAATCTAGCGATTGAACACTGCGCCAGGGAAATAAAAAGGCTAGGAAAACATTCCCGGGAGGTAGCCAACTTCTCTGACAGTCAGGCAGCACTAAAAGGCCTAACCTCATGCGAACTGCATGGAGTCTCAGGCGGAGGTCAGCGACACTAATGGTCCCTTGGGCATTCGGGGCATAGAGCCGACGAAAAGGTAGACATGTTGACCAAAGAGGGAGCCAGCATGGACTCTCTAGGTCCTGAACATTTTTGTGGCTTAGCATCTTGCCTTAATGAGTCCAAACTCGAAGAGATTCATAGAAGGGCCATCCGCAAAACTTACAAAGGAATTAGTCGAAGGCAACCGCAACAGAACCACGATTCCGATTGGACTCCTGTCAGAGCACTGCCACTTAAGAAGCACATACCACGGATAGGACTGACAGAAGAAATGCAGATACCAGGAAGAAGAGGAGGACTCAGAACACGTTTTATGTTTCTGTGAGGGTCTATGCAGATGTGGATTCTTGCTAGGGAAGGAAAACTCGCAAGCAAGATCCGACAGTAAGGAGCCGCTGGCAAGACTATGGAGCTAGCAAGTGATTTGTAAAATTAAATAAGCATAATAGATCTATCCAGGTCGAGGAGGAGAAGGCCTTGTGCCTTTCATCCCTATCCCTATCCTTATGTACTGGTAAAGATTGTGGGATCAATCTGGGAAATTTCTCCGGACCTTGTGATGAGATTTTGAGTACCACATCAAGTTAGGCTTTTATCATTTTTTAAAAATTACAATATGTTTTGATGGATGAATAGTGTATGTTGTATTCTTTTTCATGTTGGAATGTCTTTCCTTTGAAGAAATAAAGAAAAAAACTTGTGTAATTTATAAAAACCTTTGACCATCTTGGGTTTTCTTTGGGCATATTTGTTCTTGTCGAGTGTTATTGCCGAATCGTGCCTTCTTTTTTAATGTAAAAATTCCATTTTCCACGCATTCCACGGGACGGGTGCAAGGGAAATAAGAAATACTTCTTCGGCATTGAAATCACCGCGTGCCGCCTGACCGCTTTCCCCCCATCCTTTTTCCTCATCATCCCACCACCTCAAGAAAAGGATCCCCACCACGCACTTCTTTCAACCTCTCCCTGACGTTTTACAGTTATATTACGACTCTTGTTTAACCGAGGCGTCCTTTCCGTGCTATCCGGCGGTTTTCCCAGTGGTTTTTCTTACGAGATAAATGACTAGAAATGGCCCACGCGGCGGTCTTGAGGGCCCACAACAGGGCCCAGCAGAAGGTGAGTGGAATCTGTGACGACGCGAGACCTAGAATCGGCCCAATCCTATGACATTTAACCTTAATGAAACTTATAATCAAACAGCCGGATCCTTCAAGAAAACTAATTCCAAGCTTGCACTTTTCCTAGATATTCTATCTAGGATCCTTTTAACACTTTAACATTTTGTAATTACCAAACTCTTTCCTCACTTGCTCTCAGTTACACACGCAATCTTCAGAAATTGTTTAAACCGTCACTCTGACCCTCTCTCTCTCTTAACTACACTGTATCAAAAACCTCCATGAAAACTTCGATCATCTAAACTAAAAGGCCAGGGTGAGGTCTGTATATTATATATATTTAGACATATAAAAACGTAAAAATAATAATACATAGATTTATTTGGATGTGTGAAATTGAAATGAGAATACAAAAACCTGTCAATCAGCAGACAGATTCACAAAAACTTTAAAAAAATAATTAATGGTTAATTTTACCACCCATGAGTCTGAAACCTTAATTTTTATATACAAAATCGTCAAC